AGTGATTCAGTTTAAAAAAAAAAAACAACCTATAACTGACTTACAAAGTGAAAGATGATGTGTTGACCTTGGGAAGGAGATACCTACCAAAAAGGACTCCTTGTGATTAACGGGGCCCAAATTCATAACGAGGCTAGCAGCCATTGTTTACAGAGGCCTCTCACTCACCCCGCATATCAGGGGGAAGCCACAGAAGGAGCCACCAAGCCTCCTGCCCTGCGTTTCAGCTCTTTGAGCTAAACCTCACCTGCACTTCAGGAATCGTCTTTCAACCAGGCTGGGACCTACCCTGCCCAATAGTAACTGCACAGTGTTATCTCCACTTGCATCTTTACCATCAATCAAAGAGGCTTCATAATCACCAATCTGGACATGTGATCTTGACCAATTAGGACAGTGCTCTTTGGACTAATCAAATTGCAAATCTGAATTCCTCATTTGCATAAAAATGAACTAATTGGGGACCAGGGTGGGGCATTTTCTCTTTCTAAGGTGTCCTCCACTCTGTCCAGGAAGAGTATTGGTTCTCACCAGAGACTCTCTTTCCCCAGTGTGCAAACTGTTTATCTGAATAAAGTTTCTCCTTTTACCACACCCCAGATTGGGGAATCCTGCTGGCTTTGGCTTGGTGGCAGCAAACTTTTGTTAACAGGTCACTATGTGAGAATATAGGGTCAAAATCTTCAATGTATTATACATGTCAAAAAGGGAAATTACAGAGGAACTGCCCCCACAGGCCCATCCTGGTAAGTTGACAGCGTTTGGGAAACCACCCATGGCGGAGGTATGTGTTGGCAGTGGTAATAAGCGAAGCTGGGGTAGAAGAGAGCAGAATCCAACCACGCAATGGACAATGGAAGAATGTGCAACTCTTGCACAACATGGGGCTGGTGAAGATTTTGATCCTTCCAGTTCCAGTTTCCAGAGGGAATCTGGAAGGAACCTAGTATGGTGGGCACGGGGCAGCCAGCCTCCTGAGGACTGTGCCAGCAGGAACCCTCACAGTGCTCCCCGCTCCCGAGGCCCCATGTGCCTGTGGCTGCCGCCTCCACCTCTGATTCTTCCTGCCCACTGGCTCCTTCTTCCCCTACTGACTGCTTATTCTGACCTCTTCTGTACCTTACCCACTTCCTTTCATGAGTGGCCTCTTCGGTATCAGGGCTGCTACTTACTGCCACCTGTCAGTGGCTCTCAGCTTCTTCCTACCCTGATGGCTCCACACACTAAGGAAAATGTGCTTGGTTCGTCTGCCCAGATCAGGCATGCACCTGAGACTGGCTTACAGGCCAATGGCCTGGCTACCGTGGCTACATTGAGCTCAGGTGGAATCAGGAAGGTAAGATTCACATCTAATGGGCATGCCTGGCCCTCTCCGGTCCTGGCAAGGATCCAAGAAGGTGAGTCTGTGGCATAGTTGGGAGCAGTAGTAGCAACTTCCGGAAGCTAACATCCCAGGTGGGCCCCCGGGACTCTACCATCCTTGCAGCTATGAGGGTTGTGGATGGTACTGCAGGCTGCTGGGCAGCTGAGTGGAGACTCCCTGGTGGTGGTGAGCAGCTGGCCTCAGGTCCCAGGTCCCTTGTGGCACCTATAGGATTAGCTACTAGGCAATGCCAAAGAGTGTTCATGAGCATCTACTCCCCTCTCCCAATGTGCTGGGTGGAGGCCATTGTTTCCACAGTTTACTAGAGGGAGGAAGGACTTGAGAAACATTGGTTTTTGTTGCAATCGTGTGTGCCACACCCTGTCTGAATCAAATGTACAAGAAAAACTGCAGGTTGTAAAATGCAACTCGAAAAATGCTGGCGGCACTGCAGTTCTGTGGTAAGAAGGTCTCAAAAGCCGGGTGACGGTCAACTTTATCCAGCATTTAGCAACTCTTTTAGAAGGAAATGAAAGTGAAAAAAAATAAAACAAGGAAAGGAATTTGAATCTTGTTAAGGAGCCATAGAATGGTGAGAAATGTTTTTAAATAAAAGCACTTAGCACTTCTAGTCAAGATGACAGAGTAGGTAAACATGGCTCACCTCCTCTCACAACCACATCAAAATTACAACTAAACTATAGAACAACCACCATTCAGAACCATCAGAAATTGAGCTGAATGGAAGTCCCACAACTATAGAATTAAAGAAGAAACCACATCAAAACGGGTAGGAGGAGCAGAGACATGGACTGGGCTGGTCCCACACTTATGTCTGGTGGGTAAAAATTGGGAGGGATATCTCAGGAGTGAGAGGTCCGAGCCCTACACCAGGCCAACCAGTCCAGGGTTCCAGTCCCAGGAAGAGAAGTCCTCATAACTTCTGGTTGTAAAAATCAGTGCGGATTGAAGCTGTGGAAGACAGATATTTCTGGAGTCATAGGAAGTTCCTCTTAAAAGGCCCATGCACCAACATGCTTGGACTCCTCCTTCTGAGGTCCTGCATGGGGGCAGCAGATTGAAAAACATCAGAGACATACAGGAAGGAACTGAATTGTCTGACGTAAGGGCAAGAGTGGGGCAAATTTTTCTCCCAGACAGAAATGCTGGTAGAGGCCGTTGTTCCTTTTCTGAGCCCTACCCCCATGAGCCCACAAAGCCAGCAGGCAGGCACCATGTATGAGATTCCATCAATCTAGCTCACACTGTTTGCCTTACTTTGATGATCCCTGACACTCTGCCCCACCCAACATTCAGTCCCACCCAAGTTGTTTCCAGTGGCTTTTCCATATGAATGGATTGTCTGCACCCATGCTTCAGATTTTCCTAAATTCTCTCAAAAAAGCAGTATCTAACTTTGGCGAGCCCCATACCACTAGCTAAGTTGCCCCAGGTTGGGTACTAGCAGCAGCTGGCCTTGGTTTATGGCTTGGCCTCTTCTGGAAACCTCCAAGCCCAGCACAAGTAGCAGCCATCTGTAAGAAATTGGAAAGCTATTTGAAAGAAAAATTACTTCCTTAACTCGGTGAGGCAAATAGACATACAAGTCCAGGAAACACAAAGAATCCCATGCAAGATGGACCAAAAGAGGCCCACATCAAGACACATCATACTTAAAAAGTCAAAGGTTAAAGACAGAGAGAGAATCTTAAAAGCAGCAAGAGAAATAAGTTAGTTACCTACAAGGGGGCTCTGATAAGACTGTCAGCTGATATCTCAATGGAAACTTTGCAGGCCAGAAGGCACTGGCAAGAAATATTCAAAATGATGAAAAGCAAGGACCTGCATACAAAATTACTCTATGCAGCATTTAGAATCAAAGGACAGAGAAAGAGTTTCCCAGACAAGAAAAAGCTAAAGGAGTTTATCACCAACAAACCAGTATCATATGAAAGGTTAAAGGTCTTCTTTAAGGAGAAGATCAAAAATAGGAACAATAAAATGGTAGTAAATACATGTCTATCAATAATTTAATCTAAAAATCAAAATAAGCAAACAAGCAGAACAGAAATAGAATCACAGATACAGAGAACATTTTGACAGTTGCCAGATGGAAGGGAATCAGGGGAATCGGTGAAAAAGGTGAAGGAATTAAAAAATACAATTTTTTTTTGTATTTTTGTATGTGGCTACAGAATAGTCATAGGGCCATAAAGTACATCTTAGGGAATAGAGCAGCCAAAGAACACATATGCATGACCCGTGGACCTAGACAGTGGTGTGGGGATGGCCTGAGGGAGGGTGGGAGGCTGGTTGGAGGGGGACAAAGGGGGAAAAATGAGACAACTGTAATAGCATGAGCAATAAAATATAATTAAAATAAAACAAAAGCACTTTGAAAAAGAAGAAGCCAAAGAAAAGTTTTAAACAGCCAACAGGTTTCTGGCTGCACAGAAGTTTAAATGGAAGGCATTGGTCTAGGAAACAAATGTAGGAAAATGAAACAGCTAGAAAAATGCAAAGAACGATAGTCATAGCTAAATGATGAGATGAGAAAAAGATCCTGTAGTCTTAAGGGAATGTGAAAGGAAACTAAGTATTTTTAAAAATCCATGTCCAAGCGGATATAAATAACGGAATAAGAAAATGAGAGAGAATATACCAATTTCCCATGCAGAGGGATTTCAAATCTTTTATGAAGATAATTTGCCCTCAAGGAGGTGGAGCATAACTCCCTCTCCTAGACTGCGAGCTGCTCATAGCGGCTTCCTTCCAAAGAGTACAGTGTGAAAAGAGGGGAGAGAAAGAGTAACTTTACAGAGGAGAAACCTGACAAAGGCTGCCTCGGCCGGTGATGGCGATTCACAACAGTGGTGAGTCATAGTGGCGTGCCCTTGATGTAATGGGACAGAAATGGTACTTCACTCCCGCCATCTTCCTCCCAAAATCCCACAATCCTAATCTAATCAGGGAAAACCGTCAGACAAATCTCAAGGGAGGCACATTCTGCAAAATATAGTACTCAAAACTGTCGAAATCACTGGAAACCAGGAGAGCCTGAGAAGCTGTCACAGCCCAGAGGAGCCTAAGGAGACAGGGCAACTAAATGTAATGTATCGTGAATGGGATTCTGGAACAGAAAAAAGACTTTAGGTAAAAACTAAGGAAATCTCAATTATCTATGGACTTTAGTTAAGGACACTGCATTTGGCATGACTGGTGTGGCTCAGTTGGTTGGGCATCATCCTGAAAAATGAAGGTCTCCGGGTTGATTCTGGGTCAGGGAACATGCCTGGGTTGTGGGGTCAGTCCCCGGTCAAGGTGTATATGAGAAGCAACTGATTGAAGTTTCTCTCTCACATTGATGTTTCTCTCCCTCTCTTTCTCCCTCCTTTCCCTTCATTCTAAAAATAAATAAAATCTTTTTTAAAAAAGTTAATTAAAGAGGGTTTGTACCTCTCACCACCCCCCCAAAAAAAGGCTAAAAAATCCCTGCTTTACTTTATTTCCATGGTGATGTTGGAGGACAGTTTTCTCTTGATTAATTTCAACTTAGAACATTTTCTTCTAAGATCTTTAACATTTTCATTAAACTGCCAAAGATTTATATTGTTATTAGTTAAAAATTAAAAGCTGAGTGCTCACTTCGGCAGCACGTATACTAAAATTGGAACAGTACAGAGAAGATTAGCAAGGTCCCTGAGCAAGCATGACATGTAAATCTGTGAAGCGTTCCATATTTTTTTTAAAAAAAATTAAAAGCTGCATTTGTCAGTTAATTATTTAATTGTAATGCACTCCTTTCTCTTGAAAAAGGGCCCACAATGGGATTTTGAAGGTTTTTGGGGGGGACGGGTGCGTGTGTGCCTAAGTGCTGGTTGAGGAGCATTCGTCTGACTTTCCCTGCAGGGCACTTGTTAGATGTGTGACTGAGCAAATTACCTAACCTTCCCGCATATGCATGATCAGAACCCAGTCCTTCCCTCATTGAACGTGTACTGAGGACCTACTGTGTACCTGGCACTGTGCTAAGCCCTGGACATACAAAGAAGTGCAAAGTGGACTCTGTCCCCATGAAGCTTATGTTCTACAATAATGAATGTTAATTATTAACAATCAAATTATCTCTTAAACAAAAACCAAATAACCACAGTTGGGACACATACAACCAATGCAAAGGAGAGTGCGTGCCGCCCCAAGGTCTGAGAACACTGCCCCGGGAAACTGTTGCTTCGGAGAGATCCCGAAGGGTGAAGAGGAGGGAGGGCCTGACAAGTGCGGGGAGGGTACAGGAGGCCCTGTTTTGGGGAACAATGACAATAACACAGCGATTTTCAATATTTTTCATCTCATGGCACACATAAACTAATTACTAAAATTCTGCAGCACACTAAAAAATATATTTTTTGCTGATCTGACCCCAAAAATAGGTATAATTTGAATTCATTCACACCAGATGGTTATCATGTTGACCAATGTCATTTTTTTAACTGGGCAATCTAAGGGAAAAGAGGTTAGTGCCCCTGACTAAATAGTCAGATATTGCTTATATTAAAATTTCTTGCAGCACAGTGGTTGAAAATCGCTGCACTAACAGTTGCAAAGCTAGTTGGTTTTACTGAGCAAGGAGGGTTGATTTAACTACCAAGTGACCTGGATTATCATCAATGTTGTCTCTCTGTTGTAGAAATTGTTTTTTCTACTTGTTTTCCTAAAATCGTCTTCTCCCTCTTACACAAATAATAAAGATAAGGTGATTAGATGGGGGAAAATAATGGAGAAAAAAGTCATGGGAGATGTGCTTCAAAACCACAAATATGAGGAAAGAGGAAGTGTAGGAGAGACAGTTTTTCAGTTAGCTGCAGTTGAAATGCACAGCAAAGCGCCACTGAAGTAAATTACGGCACCAGAAATTCTCTGCCCCGCTTCTGGTTGTTGATACTTTTTAATCCTTATATGCGACATTAACAATTTTAGTGTATATTAATTACGTGTTATTTGGCCTATTTATTTTAAGTATAGCTTCTGTACTAATTGGTTTTAGGTACTTTTTGTTTTGTGTGTGTGCGTGTATATATATTCATAATCTTAAGTGAAAAGAAAATCAGTACTCATTTTAGAAGCTTATTCTGTGGCATTGAAAGACATAACATATATTTCTTCTCTTGAAGTTGTTTGATAACCTGAATTCCTTAAAGCATCCAAAATATTAACGTCCAAGATTCAAACCTTAATGTCGATAAGATTCCAATAGATAAAATCTAGTGATCTGGATTTCTCTGTAAGTGACATGAGTATGTATATAAATAGATTAAATAGCAAACACATGTAGCACATGTTAAATGCCATGTATTCTTCTAAGCATTTTACAGGTATTAACTCATTTAATCTTCATGACAAATCTAGGGAGTACCCCATTTGATGGGTGAAAAACATTGCGGTGCTGAGAGGTTAAATAACTTGTTAAGGGCCAAAACACTTGAAAGTACCAGCGCCAGCACATAAATCTAAGCTGCCTGGATCCCGAGGCCTTCCCTCAAGGTGCTGGCCTTAAGCTGTCCCTGTCGGGGTACAAGGCTCATGGGTTAAGGAGCTCCCAGAGACAAGAATAATGAAGGTGCAGAGAGGCTAAGTAACTGGCCCCAAGTGTGCAGCTGGTATGTGGCCAGACAGGTTTCAAAGTTATGTGTAACATCAAGAACATATTAAACCTCTTTGAGGTATTTGTAAATAAAGTTCTTAGAAAAAAAAATGACCAACTATGTGAAAAAATACATCTTTAAAGTAAACTATCATACAAATAAATATAAGGTGGTAGCATTAGTCTTATGGAAATTCTTACCCTCAATAATTTTAGAATCTAATAGGTAATTGAGATGATGCACACAGAAGTTTACAAGTTTGATTAATATTGTTGAAATGCCATATGGCTCCAGAATTAACTGATTTGTTGTTGATAATTTGCTCTCTGTGTCTCCCACTAGAACATAAGCTCCCTGAGAAGAGCCACCTTGTTGACCTAGTCCCTTGCTATTGAACAGTGCCTGTTACACAGCAGGTGCTCAATTAATGAACACTGAGTAGATGGATGGACGAATGAATGAATGAGTAGATGGATATATGTATTTACCAGCTGTAGAGGCTGTGAGCTTAAATAAGCTCTCTGAGACTGAGACTGGACAAGGAAGAGAAAGGAAGAACCTTGAGGAATTGTGTCATTCAGAGGACGGGAATAGAAAGAGAAGAGAGAAAATTGGTGGGAGGGAGGGCAAATCAGAAAGTGGAGGACCATGAAAGTCAAGGGTAGGGAGAAGTTTGGGAAGTGGGGAACAACGTTAGGAGACAATGCTGCAAACTTTAAAAGGATGAGACTTGTAAAGACACTGTTGCATTTGGTCTTTGGGTCTGAAAGAGGGTTGCTGTAGAAGAGAAATTGGAGTGCAGCACCATTTGCACCAGAATTAAGGAGTAATTAGGACAGTAGGGAGGAAGGTTGTCAGTGAATGGAATGAAAGAGAGATGACAGCGTTGGGCATTTGCTTGTAGAATGCAAGGTCATTGTTAATTGTCATGCTGTTCCTTTGCCAATGTCTCAAATTGGAGCTCCCTCTTGTTCTCCCTCTCTTCTAAGAGAACAAAATAGGCCTTGAATCACCTCTACTCCGGTGACTCTTCTGAGAGCTCAGGTTTTGGAATCAGATTCCAGTTCAAATCTCAGTTCTTCCGATGACTAGCTGTGTGACTTAGGGGGAATTGCTTAATTCCCTAAATTTTCTCACTGGCAAAGTGGGGATCCCATTGATCACTGAATATTATTAAGCTCCTACTATGTGCCAGATATTGTTTGAGTGGGGGATTTAGTATTCTGTTGGTAAACGAATGTCTGTGCAATTCCATAAAGCCAACTGGATGTAATCTTCCCCATTGCTCCCACTAAGAGCAACTAAAAACCCTGGACAATATATAATGCATGAGAAGGCAGACAAGCTAGGAACTTTGGGATCCAAGGTACAACTTGGTGATGAGTTCCCTGGGTTTTCTTTTAGCCTCATCTATTCCACCCTTGGACCTGAAGAACCTTCCAACCTGGAAATGTCAATAGAAGCAAATGTAAAATAAAATGCCCAACAGCCAAATGAGCAGTCTAACAAGACTGAAAACTTTTAGACAATAATCACTTAGTCCAGCTAAAAACCACAGAAGAAATAGTGGGCCCACTCCCACCCAGCCGTCAAAAGAGGAGAGGGAGCCTAGACTTCCTGTCTCACAAGGCTATGTCAAACGCAACAACCCTCCACCACACACGCACACTGAGGTGCTATCAGAAAAGGCCATAAAGAGCTGGACTGTCATCCTAATATGACAGTAATAAGGCTCCCACCCCCCGGTGTTAGCGGAGACCACACGGGAGTCTGAACTTTCCACCCATTGCCCAGAGATAGTGAGGCCACCGTCCTGTGGTGTAAGTAGGGGCCACATGGGCAGCATTAACAAGGCACTGTAACTCTTCCCAGCTAGGGTGGTATTAGTGGATGCCTAAGTGTTTTCTATTTTCAAGTGTTTTTTGTTTTGTTTTGTTTTGATTTGATTTCTTAAACTTTTTTGTGTGTGAAAAACTAAGACAGCATACACATTAGCCTCAGTATATGAGGTCAGGATCACCAATATCACTGTCTTCTCCCTGAACATCTTGTCTCATTGGAAAGTGTTCAGGGCCAACGACATGCATGGAGCTGTTATCTCCTATGATAACAGGGCCTTCTTCTGGAATACTCCTGAAGGACCTGCCTGATGCCCTTCTTGATACCTCTTCAAGAGATATCATTTTAGACATTTAGAAATGTGCCTATGGTGGTTTGCTTGGTGTGTTTGCTTTATTTGGTGGTTTGCTTGTAAACAGATACTGCAACATGAACATTTCTCTCTATTAATGAAAAACCTTTCAGTATTGGGGGTTCACATTTTCAAACTTTTTAAGGAGCTTGCTAAGGTCTGTGGAAGCTTCTTCTAAACACTTCGCTATGAATTTTCTTGGAGGTTCTTTTTCTTCCCTTGCAGTTTCCTTTTCTCTTGCCTCTCAACTGTGTGTTCCACTTCCAACAACTCATTAGTCAATTCCTCTTTAATGACCTCCAGGAGCTCCTCATTGTCACCCTCACCCACATCCAGGTTAAAGACGTTTTTCATCTCAACTGCAGCCTGGATGATATTTGCAACCACCTCTACCTTGGCAAATCCTTGGAATTCATGGATGAACCTCTTAAATGTCTTCTTCCAGATGCCACTCATGGACTCCTTGGGGTGACATCACCCTAAAACCAAGCAAGGTTCTTGATGCAATCGTAGATGTTGTACTTCTTTCAGAATTGCATCACTGTTTTCTCAGTGTCTTCCTCAGTTGCAGCAATATCTGGGGCAGAGTGCCTCCTCAGTTGTGGGCATTAAAAGCTGCTATAAATCCTTGATCCATTGGTGGATCAAAGAAGCGGTGGTTGGAGGAGAAACACTGCTTTGACCTTTGGGTGAAGATCACAGATAAAAGGAGGGTGTCTGGGAGCGTTCTCAATAATAAGCAAAATATTGAAAGTTATGTCATTCTCCAAACAGCCCTTCTCCGTTTTGCTGGCATAGCAATTCAGGTGGGCATCTTGGAAGAGGAGCTGGGTCATCCATGACTTCTTATTGCTCCCATGGGACACTGGCAGTGTGTATTTACTGATATGCTTCAAGGCCTTGGGGTTCTCTCTGTGCCAGATCATGAAGGGTCTCAATTTGTAGCCTGCTGCATTGCCCCCAAGCAAGACTGTTCTGTCCTTAACAGCCTTGAATCCTGGTATTTACTTGGCCCGCTCAAGGCTGGAAGTCCTTTCAGGCATGTGTCCAGAATAAAAAGATTTCATCCATATTGAACATTTTCTCTGGCAAATAATTTTCCTCCACTATCAGCATATTTAAAGTTTCCAAAAATTCTTCAGCTGCCTTCACATCAGCATGCACAGACTCACCACTCATTTCCACATTACATAAAGAATAGTGATTCTTCAATCTACACCACTCAGAGTTAGCAGTAAACTCGAAATCATTATCAAGTCTAGCCTTTTCTTTCAACATGGCGAACAAACGTTTTGCTCTGGCTGTGATCATTGTGCTGAAAGGGATACCCTTCTGTGTCTGGTCTTCAATCCACGTCCTTATAAGTTTCTTCATGTCTCATATAGGCTCTTCTCGAATTTTGTTAGTCTCATTGCCTTCAATGAAGCAAATCCTGTAACAGTTTCCATCACTTTGTTCTTGTTCTTCAAGACCACAGGTATGGTAGAATGGCATATGCCAGAGCTACAACCATCTCTGACTTTCTACTTTCATAGTCCTTAGTCACTCTTAATTTCACTTCCATGTCAGTCGCTCAATGTGGCCTCTTACTGGCAACATTAGCATTGGGTTTTGTGTGCTCCGGGATCATGTTGAACAAAACAAGAATAAATCAAGCATGAGCACAAAATAATGCAATCCAGAGACACAATGAACACAAGATGTACGAGGCTGCTGCTGGTGTAACACAATATACTGTGTTTCAGAAAACTTTAATCAGTAGAAAGAGTACACTGTAAAATAACAATAGAAATTAAATACATAAACCAGTAACACAGTCATTCATTATCAAATATTATGTAGCATACTTAATTGGACATGCTATACTTTTATACAACTGGCAGTGCAGTAGGTTTATACCAGCATCACCATAAACACGATTAATTCATTGCACTATGACACTGTGATGGCTGTGGCATCATTAGGCGGTAGGAATTCTTCAGCTCCATCATAATCTTAAGGAACAGCAATTGTAAATGCACTTCATCTTTGACTGAAACATTGTTATGAGGTGCGTGACTGTACATTTTAAGTTTTCTAAATCATGTTCGATGGTTGAAGCAAAAATTACAACACTGATGTGCTTCTAAATGTATGGAGAGGAAATATTTAAGACAAGGGAAGGCAAAAGAATGTAAAAGGAGGTGAGGTTTCTACACTTGAACTGATTAAATATTGGCACCATTAGACTTCAGTAAGTTATGCATATATAAAGTAATACCCTGGAGCAACCACTAAAAATGTTACAAGGAGGTACACTCAAAACCCACGAATATGTATAGAATAATGTAATCATAAAGTAAAAATAAAAACACTACAGAGATAAAAAACAGAATTCCAAAAAAATGTTCAATCCACACAAAGAAAAACAGAACAGAAAAAAGTGGCAGATTTGTCCTAACATCAATTACATTAACTGTAAATGATGTAAGTACACCAATTAAAAGACAAATTGGCAGTATGGATTATAAAGTATGACCCAACTGAATGCTGCCTACAAGAAACTCACTTAAATACAAGTCTGTCTGAAAAAAGTCCAGCCATTGTTAATATAATGAGAATGGTTTGCACGACACGGATGTAACCTGGCAGCCAACGAGAGTGGACTGGAATGTGCAAGTGTGAATGACAACTTCACTGTACTAGTCCGTGGGGGCGGTAGACACCATTAAGTGAGCACGTGTACTGTGTGGCCATCACATTCAACTTGACTGTGCAAATAGAGCAATGCATCTACATCAGATTTTGCGTTAAGCTTGCCCATTTCTCCATGGAAACTATTCAGGTGATTCAGAAGGCCGCAGCTATGGGCAACTGGTGACTGGCAGCTTCATCGCAACAATGTGCCCACTCATGCATCATGTTTCCTGCAGTTTTTTGGTGAAACACCAACTCACTCCAGGTGACTCGGCCCCTTTACAGCCCAGATTTGGCACCCTGCGACTTCTGGCTTCTCCCAAAACTAAAATCATCTTTGAAAGGGAAGAGATTTCAGGCCATTGACGAGATTCAGAAAAATACAAACTGTGGGAGGTCCCAAGGTGCCTGCTTTGAAGGGGACTGAGGCATCATTGTCTTATGTACAATGTTTCTTGTATCCTGTTATCTTCTTCAATATATGTCTCTATTTTTCATATTGCAAGGCCAGATACCTTCTGGACAGACCTTGTATAAACTATGTATTGATTCAGGTCCCACAGGAAACTCTTCACATGACCATTAAGTGTGAGTTGGTCCCACTTATACAGACGACAGTGCCTTGAGTGAGGAAAGTAATCCTCACCACACCAGCTCCATCCACACTAAATGAATCTTGAACATTTGTTTAAATTAATATTAGTTTATATGAAGCTAAATTGCCACTTCTCTTATTTACTGTGGTTCATGTCTGAGCTAATCCATCAGAAAACAAAATGAAAATCCTGCTTTATTTTGTACCTGTCCAAAAACAAGAGAAAAAAAGAAAACAGTCAAGATGACTTAGAACTGTGTAACTTGACAACTTTTTGCTTGGAAGAATGCTAACTTGCAGTGTGGCTTATGGGCATCTAGTTTAAACTCTTCCTCTCTTCTGTTACTTTTGAAAAGGGGACAAGAGAAGGAAATAAAAAGGAAACCAAGAAATGCCTTTTTTCCCTTGTTCTAGTAAAAGGCAGTGAAAAAGAAAGCAGACAGAATCGACTGAAATTTGACTGCTGCTCCAGAATACCCCTTTTAGACAGTGGGGTTTTTTAAGAACAGACTTACGAAAAAAATGACCAAGTGGAGAGTGACTACCCACTTCTAAAAGAGTTTATTTTTAATAAAAGTGAGTTATGGCAGCATTTGCCTTAAAGTCACCTACTCTATGTCAAATACCCTTCAGATTCATATACTGATGGAAATTGAGTACATGCTGAAGATGGCTGATGCTTTAAGTAACCATCTGTGGATCCACACCTCACATCTTGCTTCAAATTTGCTCCATGTGGATCTAAATGTAAGAAATGAAAACATAAAGGTACTGAAAGAAATAATGAGAAAATGTTTTTTTGTAATCGTGAAGTGGACAAATAATACAAAGAATTAATTCAAAGGATAAACTGACATTTATATTCATGAAAAGATGTTCAAATTCATCAATAAGATAAAGTCAAATGAAACCATGCTGAGGAGTACTAGTACATAAATCCTGTGTTCCACGCCACCCTGGAAATCTTTATAAATATTGGCAAAGTTACTGCACAGGCTCTTCGTAGGCCATTATGTGGGATTGTGGCTTAAACAAATTTATTTGGTTATTAAAGGAAAGGGTGACTTCAAAAGGCTGGAGTTCTTAGGTATATTTTGATTATAATTGCAAAAAAGGATAACAACCACTGAATTAAAATAATGTTCTATAGAATAAAAGTCATTTTTCAAATTGATCTTTTAAACATGGTTTTACTAAGTTAAAACACAAGCTAAAAACAATACATAGAATACATCAATTTTGTATATTCCACATAGTCTAAGGAAAAAATGAGAACATAGACCAAAATGTTAATAGCGGTTATCTCTTACCTGGTAAATTATGGTTTATTTAAAAAATATTTTTCCAGGACTCATGGACATGAACAACAGTGTGCTAATTGCAGGGGTAGGGCGGGGGGGCGCGGAGCGGGAGGTATAAGGGGACTAAATGGTAATGGAAAAAATACAATAAAAAATACTGTTCCTTTACATTTTTGTATTTATTTTTCTCCAATATTTCTGTAACAAGCACGTGGAAATTACTTATGTAAAAAATAAAACACTTTAATTTAAAAAGATAATCCTTCAGTGTATATTATAATTCCACCAAACCTAGATTCACACAGATCTACTCCTAACAGCCATATGGAGTAGCTTACAAAAAAGGGGTCGAGGAAGTGTCTTTATGTTAACTTAAGTGAGAACTTTTACAACGTATTAGTCAACTTAGAAGACTAACATAGGATAAAACCACTGCAATAAGAAACAAATATAAAATATAATGAAATAGCTTCTCAAATAATTAATGATAAGTTCCCAAAGAATCTTTGAAGCACCCACAAGAGAGATCTTATGATTTAAAAAACCTCTTGAACTTGCTCTCTAGAAAATTCAATCTATAGGCCTGTGTTTTAAACACACAGACTATTACTATATATTAAGCAGCTGGGAAGATTGTGATTAAAAATAAAAGGGAAAACACACCACCAAGGCAGGACTGTTAATAAGAAAGGGTGACTCAAATGAAAACAGTATTTGTACAAGGCAATAAAAACTTAACTCACAGACTTATCAAATAAGAAAAAAAGACATTCTGCCTCATACCTGATTTAAAAGGTACTGCTATTTAAAGGTATGATTACACTAGAAAAATGCAAACAATATCCATGAGCATATATACACAAAATATATCATGGAACATTTTTGAGGTATTTTCAAATTTCACACCATCCTTAAAATCCAAACATCTTCATGTGTCTATGATTTATTTACTTTTTTAGTCCCCCTTTTTCTTCCTCACACCCTGCTTTTCAATCATACCTGATAACTTTTTTTTTCATTCTTTATTTTCTTGGGATATAACTGACATAGTGCGCCAAGTTTAAGGAGCACAGCATGTCTTGACTTACATATACTGTGAGATGATGAACTAAGCGAACACCCACTAGCTCACACCGTCACATCTCTTACACACACTTGCAGTTCACCAGCCCAATCCCACTGACATCTCCTGGGAGCCCACCCCTCCACCTTCTACCGCTGCATGTCCATTCGGACCACAGAGACTGTGCAGCAGCTTTAGGATCTACCTGGAAATACAAAGAATAAAAAACATGGTCTTGCAAAGAACTTGGTTAAGTGAGGGACAAACATATAAACCAACAGTTGAAATACTATTCGGGAGAGAAAACATGGCTATACTTTACTACGGAATGAGTTACATACTTAACAATTTATTGTGCCAAACACCATTCATGGTTTTTCAACAAATTTTCTTATCCGGTACATACAGATTTGATGGGTAAATTCATGTCCATTCTTGGAAGGGTCCCAATTTTTAAGAAATTAACTTTCCAGTTACCCTCGAAATATATGTTCATTATAGGAAAAAGCAGGTAGAGTGGTGTCCAAGTTATTTAACATAGTCTCGCAGTCGCTCCCCGAACTCCTCTCCCCTTCCTCCAACTCACTTCTGACTTAATTCCCAGTTCTGGGTGCATGTGTTTTTGTGCTCAGTAAAGATGCTTTGTTTTCAATAACCATGTTTACAACTCTGGATCTTTCTGGACAAGGTAATCGATTAGGTGTGTGCAGAGACATCCTATTTATGAGCTAAAACAAACCCAAAGGCACCTAGAGATTTGCTGAAACAGGCAAAATATAAACACCCAAGTATTTATCTTAATTCAAAATGTTTCACTAGACCAGGGGATGTGGCCACTTTATAATCACAGACTTTCCTAAGAACTCTGAACATTATTACATTCTGTCCTTTTTACTTTAGAGCCAAAAAATTAAGTCTTGACACAGGCTGTCCATTCTGCCTGTGGCTCTGGCGCTCCCTCAGCAAGGACCTCCCCACATTTACACCCCTCCCCAAACCCTGGCTCCTACCCAGCCTTCCTGAGCCTCCTCATATCCATCTCCTCTGGGAAACCTTTGTCCTACAAGGTGGTGCTGTGCCCCTCGTGAGTATACCACCCAGTGACCAGCACTTAATACCCGCTTCCGTTGCCTATTTCTCTCTCACCTAATTTGTAGATGGAATTTATGTAGTAACTGTACTTTTTAAAACCTAATTTGTACCTTAAATTTATGTAGCAGATTTTTCTGAAAAAAAGTTGTGCCCTTGAACTTTTTAAGTTGGCAATTTATTTTACAATCTCAAGAATGGTAAAAATACATAGGTTGTGGGCTTTGGCATTAAAGTAATGTGAGTTTGGCATCCAGGTCTAGTTCTAACAGCTGTAACCTTAGCTTAACATCTCTGAGGCAGTTTTATCACTTGGAAAATAAAGACCTACTTCGCTGTGAAGATTAATGCATGAGTGCAGAGCACACCACCTGTGCAAATTCATGCTCAGTAAATGTTAGCACTAATTTCAACCAAAGGAGAGATTTAACCAAAAGGAGATTAAAACTATTGCTGGCTGACTGGGAACTAACAAAAATATATTTTGTAATAATGTGCAATGTAACCTGTATTCAGATTAATCTGTAATTTGTACTTAACATTTCTTATCTATTACTCTGCATATATTCGGTATTCACACACATTTTAAATGTTCTAAAAATGTATCTGATTCCTTTAAAAATGCTCTAATAAAAGGCCCAGAGATGTGAAAAATGAAAAAGAATGTTGGCACCATCTAAAGGAGTATCTTTTATGCCAGCAAGAGAACAGTACAGTAAGTGTTTCTGAATAAGATCACATCTTAATCTCTAGGAGACTGAAAACTTTAGTTCATCCAAATCTCTAAACATCAAATTTAAAATGGCTTAGAAAGTATTTTGAAATTATTTACTTAATAGTAAACTGGCTTCTGAGCCTGTAAAGAACCCAGTAATCCAAAAGAGAATTTAAACCCTTCTTTTTAAGGTCCTTAGACAAGAACCAAGATGCTTAGCAGCTGATTGCTGCCAGATTTAACCTAGGAAGACCCACAGACAATGCTAACAAAGACTATCTCTAATGAACTCTTCAACCCTGGACCATTCAGAATCCCAAGAGGAAACGTGTCCCATTTCCTTGTACTTGCCTTTTTCAGATAAGCTAAAAGGTTTACTAAAGCCACAGAATTAAACAAGAGGCCGTTCTTTCAGCATCAGAATCAACTAAGAATATACTAACATATACAAACACATTGCACATTCATTCAATTATACATTTATTAATCTCTACTTGCTCTAAACCAGAAACCATTCTAGGTGTTTGGAGATACCAAGGTGAACAAAAAAATGTATTCTTACCACAAGCAGCTCTCAGTTTAAGTCTCATTTGCAAAACAAACAAGAAGTAGTATTTTAAGCCATCACTCATTCACAATTGTAGGAGGCACTAATTCACAGCTGAAAACAAAAGCTTAAGAGAGATGGGGGAGTGGGACAGTATCCCAGAGGCCTGAGTGGGCAGGAGCCAAGACCACTGGAAAAGGCAGGAAAAGAAAAACAGGGGCCTAATCCTGGCCTTGGGGTCAGAGACTCATTCAGAGTCCAGATTTGCCATTACCAGTAAAGCGAACAACTCTGTTTTTGCAATTAGGGTGTATTTTATAATTTAAATTTTTCAATTACCAAAAATTCTTTATTTCATAGAGTTTTAAAGGTCAAATGAGAACATTAATGAAAGTATATGTATAGCCCAAGGCTTATCAGTGGGAAGCTCTAGCAGTATACTTTTAAAAAAGTAGCATCCCTTAATGAATGTTCAAAGAAATTTTGTTAATGTAATTTACATTAATACGAACTCTGTAATTACAATTTTGTTCATGATCACGACAATGTGGAATGACAGAGAGTGAGGCAGTGGCCTTATCAAAACAGTAAAAGCTCCAAGTCAGCCAGACATAAAGTCAAATTAGGGTTCCAACTCTTGACAGCCAACTGTTTTACCATAAAGAAGTTATTTTATCATGTATAAATTTTCACAGGGTTGTAAAGATGAAATATTAGGGATGTAAAACCCTCAATGTAGTGACTGACACTCCTCAAGTATTAACTTTGCCTTCCAGGACCCCTAAATAAACCCATTTCGCAGTTGTGCGGGGCACTGAGTTCTGGCTCTCCAAGCACAGCCAGCACTACCTGAGCCCCTCCTCCCCCTTCTCCAAGGGTAAGGGAGGAGCCATTTCTTCTCTCTGCCCCCTGCTGGGGAAGCGTGGCCTGCAGCCTAAGCCCCAAAGCAATGTTCCCTCTCGGGCTGCAGCTTTACAGGGATGGTACGGCAGACACCCTCTGGGTTGGTGGTGACAATGGCTGAGTCCGTGGAAGAATCTCAAAAGTGTTCTGGCACCCAAACCCCACAGTAATTTATCAATTCTGTGAGCTACTCACACCCACCCAATAAATCTGTTTTCTCCTTAAGTACACAGTACCTGCTGTTGTAATCAACCCTAATTAGTACATTTTGTAAAACTAATAAAAGTAAATTAATATCAGTGCCATGAAATTATTTTTAATATCTTCTTCTCCATGACCGAATATACAAAGATAATGGAAGTAATGTATCCTTCTGTTGTAAAGATGGGTGGAATATATCAAAATCCACTTGTTGAATTTTCTTTAAATAGTCCTCCAGAGCAACCTGGAAAAAGAGAAAAATGGTCATGATATCACTGAATGATTAAGTCTTTAAAAGAAGCTAAAGAAAAATTACAAATATTAAGGCTATTTTACTTTCCCTGAGATGGTCTTCTACATACTAAAAATTTAAATGAGAATTTTAAAAGGTACAGAGAAAATAAAGATATGTCCTAAGAAGTTTCCATTACGACAGTGAAACAGGATCACAGAGAGAGTACTAGAAATATCAAGCCAATTCTAATCATCATTTTTACTGTTCTGGTCAAAATATAAAAGATCAGAGAAGTTACTGTTTGCCAGGTGTTATTCCTAGACTCTGCAGAACACAAAAGGGATGCTTCGCTCAAGGAGGATGGCCACCACCACAGAATGCACTATGCCATGAGGGGGAGTTTAAGTTGTTTGTTTAAAAAAATTACGTTGGGAAAAAGTTTAATGGGTCTCCATGCTTTTGCTAGAAAGTGATCTCCACCCAGGGAGAACAATCCAGGTCCCTATACACGTGACCCATACTTCCCCCATCACATAAAACTTGACAAAGCTTTCACTGCGACAGGGAGGAGGGATGGAAAACACTGACAACGACAGCATCCTTTATTTTATAGTTTTCATTTATTTTTACTAATTTATAAACTATTTTATTTCCATTAACTTTCTTATTAAATGGAGAAGCCACTTAGCTTTGCCCCGCACAATCTAAAGGCACACCTCCCTTCCCAGTCTGTGTGCACAGCTCCCCCTAGAGTTCTGAAGCTGCCTGTATTGTATTAGCAAAAAACCCAGTTCTTGGACCCCGCATCCCCTAAAAAAGGAGAAACTTCATACAGTGAAATATTACCCTGCAGTAAAAATAACACACTATAGTTATAAGCAATAATATGAATAAATTTGAGAAACATATGTGTGTGAGACCCAGAAGACATAAACAGAAAATGATCCATTTTTATAAAGCTCAAAAACAAAATTAAGCAACATACTGTTTAGGAATACATAAAATGGGGAAAAGTTTTTGAAATTAAAACAAAAGAATAAAAAATACAAAATTCAGGATAGCTGCTTGGAGGAAGAAAGCAGAGGCAGTGGAATTTAATGGTAACATTCTGGTTCGTGAATTGTGTGGTGAATTCATAGGTGTTCAATACAGTGTATGTTATACTTTATAATGCATATACAGACATATCATATTCATTTTTAGATATCAAATATTAAACATTTCAAAGAGAATAAAAGAAACAATGAAGATATTTCAGTGTACTTTCTTTTACATTTTGAAAAAAGAGCTTGTGTTACTCATAATGTTCTGTAATCTGTTTTATCACTTAATATAATGAGATTATCTTTCCATTTCTAAGAATTCTATTATGCTCATTTTAATAGTTTTATAGTATCTAAATATAAGACATAGTTATGAAATTAAGGTACAGGTACATAATAGGATGTTACACAGCCATTAAATATTGTATTTATACATTTTTTTAAAAGATTTTATTTATATATTTTTAGAGAGGGGAAAGGAGGAAGAAGGCGAGGGAGGAAACATCAATGTGTGGTTGCCTCTCATGTGCCCCCCCACTGGGGACCTGGTCTGCAATCCAAGCATGTGCCCTGACTGGGAATCGAACCAGCGACCCTTTGGTTCGCAGGTCAGCGCTCAATCCAGAGCCACGCCAGCCAGGTCTATTTATAAATATTTTTAATGATGTGGTTAAATGCTTGATAAGTAGGATACTAAGATACAAAGTGTGATTTCAACTATATACAAAAATTTATTTAAAAAAAAAAGAACAGAATCAATTTTGTCTCTGCATCCTGAATTACAGGTGGTAGTTATTTTCTTCTAATATTTTTATGTTGTCCAAGTCTCTATTATAAGAATATATTTCTTTTACAATCAGAAAATTCCATTAAAATACAGACGAAATGTGACCTCAAAATTAGAGCTCAAATGGACATTCACAAATTAGGATTTGGTTCGAATCAATACACTGATATAACTCTCAAAGACATTACAATTTCTGAATATGGCATCTTAAAGCTTTATCTATGAAGCACATACCGTACCCTAGACTAGTCATTTTCAAATAGTTTTTAAATAGCAAAACCTTTTCTATGAACAAAATTAGCAGATGCCCCACATAGAAAGCAAGTAAGAAGAGAGGTGCCCCCACTGGAGGGAAGAAGTGGACAGCAGCAGTCTGGCAGAAGCTGCCGCGTGGTCCCTCCAGTTTCTCCCAGCACGAGACAGACACTGGGGGCAGGGCTCCCGCCCAGGCCCGCACTGGGGCCCAAGGCCTGCATTTTAACAAGTTCGCAGGCAAGGCCGCCATTGTTGGTCCAGGGACCACACTGTGAGAACCGCTAGTCTAAGACAGTGGTTTTCAGGACTGGCTGCACTTTTACAATTACTGGGAGAGTTTTTTAAAAGTATCAATGTCTAGATCCAACCTCTTAGATATTGTGATTTAATTGGTTTGGGGAGGGGCACAATATTGCTTTGGATTTTTGGTTTTTTTTAAGCTTCCAAAGTGACGCAAATGGGCAACCAGAGTTAAGAACAACCTTTTTCACCACAGTGAACAAAACATACAAAAAGCTCTTGACCTTCATGAAAGCTTAACTTTAAAAAGTAAGTTAAAACAGTTCTTAAGTCATCGTTTTACTGTTACCTTCTTTAATTTATGCCCCTGAACGATCAAGTCTCAACTGTTCATCTTGGAATGCAGAGGCCTCCACATCTTGACTCCAACCTCATCTATTCAGCACACTTCTCTGATGCAGTCAGGCTGATGTAAATCATCAAATATCATTAAGACCAAATAACCAAATAGGTAACCCTTAAAAATGGTGATTTAGCCCAGGCAGAGCAGCTCAGTGGGTCAGAGCATCGTCCAGTACACCAAAAAGTTGCGGGTTGGATTCCTGATCAGGGCACACACCTAGGTTCGGGTTCAATCCCCAGTCGGGGAGCGTATGAGAGGCAACCGATAGATGTTTCTTTCTCACATCAGTATTTCTCAGTCTCTCTCTTTCTCCCTTCCTCTCTAAAATCAATGAAAACATATCCTTGGGTGAGAATTTTTAAAATAATAAAATAAAACAAATGGTGATATAGAACAGTATGTGTTAACACAGAAAGAGATATTTGACACACCATTTATAGAAAAAACACATGTGATTACATAACAAAGAAGAACAGACTATCTCTGGGAAGGATGGAATTGTGCAAGGATTCTTATTTCTTCTTGCCTCCTCTTATTTCACATGAACATCTTAAAATATTAACATTCTACTTTTTAATAAGTAAACTTGGTAAAGGAGCAAAATGATTTCAAACACTCAGATCTGAGAACTAGGACAGAAGATGTGAAGGGATGGAAATGAATCTTTAAATATGTTTTTGGGAGAAAAGTAGAAGATATGTTTGGTATTATAGAAAATGCACGCATTTTCAATTTTCAAAGATCACAAATCTCTGAACTTTGTTTTTTATCTATGAAATGAAGTAAACTATGCCTAAGGATGATTAGGAATAATGTATAAAATGACCTAGTTCAGAGCCTATCCCCTAATAAGTGCTAAATTACTGTAAGCTATTCTCATTTGTGTATTTTTCAACAATTTCTGATGGCTACCCAACGGAATCATCTGGGAAACTTTTAAAAATCAGTTTCTCCTAGGAATTCTCCTCTCCTCAATCCTGAGTCTTATTTAGTAAGAAGACCCTAGGAACCTGTATTTTTTCAAAGCTTTCCAGGTTATTCCAATGCACCTGCTCAGTACTAGTCTGTGAACCACTGTTCAGGAACCTTTGCTACAATCTTGTCCCAGTGGGGAAAATACTACTAGAGCAGTAAGTAATCCTCATATACTAGTAGCTGTAAATAGCCTAATAATCCTACAAGATAGCTTCTCATAGGAGTCCCATTTTACCTCTGAGTATACTGAGGAACATGGCGTTTAAGAACCTTAAACTCTCACAGCTAGTAAGTAGCAAAGCAAGTCCAAACTGATGCAACCTAGCTGCAGTCAGTGCTACTGCCTATTCCACTCACTTGCCTCTGGGAAATACAGGCATGGCCATCACCAAATGCCAAATGCAACTAACAAAACCCACCCAAAGGAAGAAAAACAAAAACAAAGCCTCCAAACTAAAGAACTGCATTGGGAACCTCATAAAATAGAAAAACAGATCAAATACATCTGCTTCACTAATTGAAAGGGCTTCTCTGTTAATCTACTTACCGTCTGAAGAAAAGCAGGAAATGCTTTCACAGGAACACTTTTGTGGAAGGACCTAGCCTAAAACGGAACACAAAGGGGTTTGAAATATAAGTATTTCTGGAAATAAACATGCTCCCTTAAAAAGTGACCACAAAGCAATATTAGCAGATCAATAACAGGGCAAGGGCCTCTCTCAAAAGCAAGAAAATAGCTCTCATCTGCAGATTACGATTAATTTCTTAAACCTGAAGGTCTTCGAAAAAAGTACTATGTTAAGAATTCCATTCTTTCTTACAAATTGGCTTTGGCATTTTCCAGCTGCCTTTTAACATCTTATAACTTTGACCCTCTAGCTCTGTGGTTAGGGGTAAATGAAGAAATACTTGCATTAACAAGTCCTAGCACCTCCCCAGCTTAGACAGATCATCACTATCTCCTGTTTAATGATCCTCCCAGCTGATCTTTCTGCCTCTGTGTTCCCAACCTTTCATTCATTCCACATAGCCAGCCAAAGCAATGTTCTTAAGTCATTGTTTTATTTTTATTTTCTTTAATGTATGTCCCTGATAGCTCAAGTCTCAACTATTTACTCATCTTGTATTTCAGAGGCCTCCACATCTTGGCTCTAAGCTCATCTACCTAACACCTCCCTGCTACTCTGGACTACGAATCCCTGATGCACTCGAGTTGATGCTCACCACCCTGTATTCTCCAAGCACACATCTGTTTCCAGGTCTTCATTTACATCGTCAGATACCATCTCTACGTCCTGACTCACTTCTTAACCCCCTACCCCCTGTTTTACCCCCTCTACCAAAATTACTCTCTTCAAAATCACCCATGATTTACTAATTATCCTACCTCATTTCTCTTCATCTCCTTTTGGCACGCAGTTTTACTATTTCCCCTTCATGGAATTTGCTCCTCTCTTGGTTTCTAATACACTGACTCTCAGTTTTTCTTCTTTGTTCATTCTTTCCCTCTTCTTCTTCTTCCTAATTAATGGCCTTTTCTCTTTCTACCTGAGGAATGGAGGTGGGCTTCAAGGCTCTGCCCTTGGTCCTCTTATCCAGCTGTACATTTTCCCTGGGCAACACCATCCAAAATTAGAGCTTTAACCACAGACTTCCATGCAGCTGACTCTCAAATCTCTCCCTCGAGCTCTGATCTCCTTTCAAAGTCACAATCCTGCATTCTTCAATAGCCCATCTCCCTACATGTCTTCTAATCCTGATACTCAATGACATCCAACAGCTAGCCTCAAATCTACTACTCAGCTCATAGGGACCATTGCTTTTTTATTATAGTCTCTGAATGGCACCATCACCACCTTCACTTGAACTCTGTGCAGCCTTCAACTTTCCCTCTTCCTGATCCTGCCACAATCCAATCAGTTATCACACCCAGTTGTTTCTATCTCTGTTGTACGTGTGTATATACATATATAAACATACATACACAAACATCTACCCCCTCTAAATGAGACAGTCTTTAAATGTGCCAAAAGGAGACCACTTACTAGTGGTTATTATTAGAGCAGGCAGGATGGAAGCCAAATTACAGCATGATGAACAGTGTCAGGGCGGTGAGGGCCTTGAGGTAACAATGAATACAGACCACTTATTCAAAAAGGGTTAATTATTGTAAGCTGTTCTCATTTCTTACTGAAGGGGAAAAATAAACTGAAGGGTCCACAGATGCCTGTAAGTTCGGAAGGCAGCAGCACAAACCAGAAGATAAAAGAAGCAAGTTATCGGAGAGGCCAACTGAAAACACCAGTTGGGATTGCTGAGGATGCAAAGTCCTGGAAAGGTAAGAGAGGCATCGGCCTTGCAAGGCAGACAGACACACTGTCCTCTGAGAGGGAAATGGTGAGTGACGGATTAGAGAGGAGCCTAACTGAGGGAGCTCAGGCTTGACTGACTCACTAAAGGGTGCATACATTTGCTGAGAGGGGGAAAGGGGGATTATTTAAAAGTGGAGAAAGTTTACAATAGTCCCCGAGATAAATCCACTGTGTTTTCAATGAGAGATAGAATATGGACTGCCAAGTAGGTAATAGTATAACCACGCTATTCCCTCCTGGGCAGAAATGATCGTTTTCTGAGTGATTTGGCAAACGAAGACTACTTACATGCTTTAGGTGCAAGTGTGCCTGGCTGGCAATGTCATATATCACACCTCTTACATTTTTATCTTGCTTCTTCCGTAGAAAATCCTCTTGTGAAACACCATGCTGTGTTCAAAAATACATTATATTAGCAATCCAAAAGCATACTTAAAACTAACTTAAACTGTAGTCTAAAACTAACTTAGCTTAAGAAAATAGGTGAGAGAACAGTATGTACAGTATAATGCCTATTTTGTTTTTAAAAATATGTGTATTTCTATATGCATGTGTGTCTGTGAAAAGAGACACACACATACACACACACTCTCCTGCAATATGCAACAAGATGGTAATTAGTAACAGTTGTAGGTTAAACAAAAATACACAAGCAAGAGAACAAACATGTAAGTAGTCTGAAAGTATAGACACTAATGAATCTCATATAGAAAATAACAGTTCTCATAAACAATGTTCTTTTCTTAAGGATTATTTCCTCCTGTAAAGTAAAGAACAGGCTACCCTGAACATTAGGAATAATTACTATAATTGCTTGGAAGGGAGTAAGGCATAAACATGAAGCTACACCAAGTGAGGTTCTCCAGACTTTCTTAACTCATAGCTCCACCAGACACCTAAAATGCCAAGCTGATAAAAATTCTCACTTGATAATCAAGGAGTAAAAAGCAATATGCATTCATTTCAAAACAGTTCCTTGAACAGACTAAGCAAAGAACCAAGCGATAATGTCTTTCCCATATTCCTGAGCTAAGTTATTGAAGGCATACAAATAACAGCCTTACCAGCATACAAATATCCATGGGAAGAAACACCCTTCTCCTGCTACCATGATACGGCGTTGCTCTCAAGCAAGTGACAATGCCTTGTGCTTTTCCAATGTGACTTGCAGCATGGTCTGCATGAAGATCCTTTATACCTATGAATGAAGAAATGAAATAATAGGGCTGCTCTTTTTTCTTTAAATGCTTAACAAGTCAATAGAAGTAGCAAAGATAAATCACCTAAACATATAAAATTAGTTGTTTATCCTATTTCATTCATATATGAAACACAGGATCTATGGGTATAACTGGGTACAGAAACAAGCTGACCATTTACACTAGCAGGTTTCTGAACTTCCAACTTTTAAATAAAAGAGTTTTCCTCAGACTTCAGCGCACTAAGAACACATTTGGAATTTTAATCAGCTATCATGGAAAAACATTACAAGTCTTTCATTTCTTCTCCTCAGCACAATTTCCATACGACCTCATTTTAAGTAGATGCGTAACAAACATTCTGCTCTTTGCTCCCTCCTTTCATTGTGTTGGCAAACGTGTCACAGAATGTGCAGGCAGAATAGGCCTGGGAAATTCAATAGGGACTTCTGTTAGTTATTCTTTCAGGATGACATAAGATATATTACCTTCCTCAAATGAATGGTATTGTCCTTGCCCCAAATGATTTCCTCATTGCAGTAAGACCGCACCAACTCAGAATAAAGTCAGAGGAGAAAAAGTACCACCTAAATTAGCTATTTTTGTTTTTGTTTTTTAAAGGAAAGTTTCATAAAAACTTAGAAATGCAGGTATGTTTCTTCTATTTTTTTTAACTTGGAGAAGTAGCATTGATAGAGAAGGAAGAATAAAGATACAAGCCTTCCAAGTTGTAGGAGATGCTTAAAAAAGCAAAATCATCAGCAATTACCAGATTATTAATTATAGCATTCCCATGAAGTAGCTAAAGTACTTTCATTAGAGCCTAGGTATTTTGATCAGTCTGCATTCCAAAGAAAGACATATAGTTCCCTTCTTGCTCAAAAAAAAACGGAACACCTTTATAAATAATGACAAGAAAAACTTCAATGTTAAATTGGTTAGATTGTCAAATTATGAAAGAATGAAGTCAGAAAGGTGTTTTATTCAAAAAAGAAGTATGAAGTAGAAAAAAAAACCTTACCCAATATTTCTAGTGTTAAATAAAGAAGAGAGCTCTGTGTGTTTTCGGCATAAGTTTCCAGTTCCTGGATATTACGGTATGCTCTGTCATCCAAATTTTTTTCCTACAAATAAAAGGCAAATAAAGACTGCTCAATTATCAAAATTTAAAAGACAAGATTTTTTGCCCAAAAGGGCAGAATAAAAATAAAAATATTAAGTATATATTGTTTAGTATAAAATAAGATTAAAATAAAATTAAAATATTAAAGTTCTACATATTCAGTCTTATAGATCACCTCTCAAAATACCACCTCAGGATTAATCTCAATGCACAAACCACCATGAACATGGGTTGCCTTAATCTTTAATCCCTTCAAAAGCCCAAGTTTTCATGACTAACTGACTTTACTGAGCTCTTACTTAAGCACTTTAGTAAGACATTATCTTCTTAATCCTAGTATTCCCCAAAAGATAACAAAATACTTTTTTCCATTTTGCAGATGAAGAGACTCAGTCACAGACACATTAAGTAATATGCCTAAGGTTAAACCCATGCTCCCAATAAGGAAAAGGTACCCAGAAAAAAAAAAAGGAGACTCATAACCAGTCCCCCACCCCCAAAATAAACCATGCTCAATAAAGTAACAGGTCTGATGAACTGAACAAACTCTAGTCAGTCTATTCAAGACACAAAAAAACATAAATCCTAGTAAAGTCTAGCCACTTGTATAATAATACATTAACAATGGAAGCATATACCGTGCTCATGGATTGGAAGAATTAATATCATCAAAATGTCCATACTACCCAAAGCAATTTATAGATTCAACGCAATCCCTATTAAGATACCAATGACGTATTTCACAGAAATAGAACAGACATTTCAAAAATTTATATGGAACCATAAACGACCCCGAATAGCCGCAGCAATTTTGAGAAAGAAACACAAAGTAGGAGGGATCACAATGCTGGACATCAAACTCTACTACAAAGCCACTATACTCAAAACAATCTGGTACTGGCACAAGAACAGATCCATAGACCAGTGGAACAGAATAGAAAGCCAAGAAATAAGCCCAGGTCTATATGGGCTTCTAATATTTGACAAAGGGGGCAGAAGCATAAAATGGAGCAATAATAGCCTCTTCAACAAATGGTGTTGGGAGAGCTGGACGGCTACATGCAAAAAATTGAAATTGGATCATCAGCTGACACCATACACAAAAATAAACTCAAGATGGATAAAAGACTTAAATATAAGTCACACCACCATAAAAGTCCTGGAGGAGAACATTGGCAGGAAACTCTCAGATATCCCACGCAGCAATTTTTTCACTGATATGTCTCCTAAAGCAAGGGACATAAAGGAAAGAATAAACAAGTGGGACCTCATCAAAATAAGAAGCTTCTGCACAGCAAAAGAAAACATCAGCAAAATGAAAAGGGAGCCAACCATATGGGAAAATATATTCGCTAATGATACATCAGATAGAGGTTTGATCTCCAAGATACATAAAGAACTCACTCGACTCCACTCCAAGAAGACAAACGATCCAATCAAAAAATGGGCAAAGGACCTGGGCAGACGCTTTTCCAAGGAAGAGATACAGAGGGCCCAGAGGCATTTGAAAGGATGCTCAGCATCACTAGCCATCAGAGAAATGCAGATCAAAACCACCATGAGGTACCACCTCACACCAGTCAGAATGGCCACCATAAACAAATCAACAAACAACAGGTGCTGGTGAGGCTGTGGAGAAAAGGGAACCCTAGTCCACTGTTGGTGGGAATGCAGACTGGTGCAGCCACTGTGGAAAGCAGTGTGCAATTTCCTCAAAAAGCTGAAAATGGAACTGCCTTTTGATCCAGTGATTCCCCTGCTGGGACTAGACCCTAAGAACACCAAAACGCCAATACAAAAGAACCTATGCACCCCAATGTTCATAGCAGCACAATTTACAATAGCCAAGTGTTGGAAGCAACCTAAATGCCCATCAGTAGATGATTGGATCAAAAAATTATGGTACATATACACAATGGAATACTACGCAGCAGAAAGAAAAAAGAACTACTAAACTTCGCGACAGCATGGATGGAACTGGAGAGCATTATGCTAAGCGAAATAAGCCAGGGGGCGAAAGACAAATACAGTATGATCTTACCTATAAGCGGAACCTAACCAACAATACAAAGATGCAAGGAAAATAAGACCAGCAACACTGAAAGGAAATCAACAGAGACAAGAGGGAAGGAGGCGGGGGGGCAGGGAAAGGGAAGGGAAGGGGAAAGTCAAGGAACATATAGCAAGGACTCATGGACAAAACCAAAGGGGAAGAGCTGAGGGAGGGAAGGAGGGAGGGGGCAAGGGACAGTGGTGGGGGGGAGGCAGAGACAAACGTATTTTAAAAAAATAAATAAATAAAAGAGAGCTGGAGAAGTGAAAAAAAAAATAATACATTAACAAAGACTCTCCTCCTTTTGTAATCAGGAGAAACTGACACCAGCAATGATCCCCAGGCAGGGCTGGGGTGGGGAAGAACTATATCCAGAAAATTTACATTAAAAAAAATGACATATGATTCATATACTGTAAAATTTCCCCCTTTAAAATATATAGTTCAGGGGTTTTTAGTATATTCACCAAGTTGTGCAACTATCACCACTACCTAATTCCAGAATGTTTTCATCACCTCAGAAATCCGGTGTCCATGAAGCAGTCACTTCCCACTTTCCTTTCCCTCATCTCCTGACAAGGCAATGGATTTATATGTTCTGGACATTTTATAAAAATGCAATGATACAACACACAACTTTTTGTATCTGGCATTTTTTTTTTTTTAATTTTTTTATCCTCACCCAAAGCCATGCTTGATTTTGTAGAGAGAAGGAGAGAGGGAGAATCACCAACATGAAAAACATTGATCCGTTGCCTCTCACACGCGCCCTGAGCAGGGACCGAACATGTGGCCTGACTGGGAATTGAACCTGCCACCCTTCAGTTTACCAGACAACACTCCCCGCAACTGAGCCACACCAGCCAGGGCTATCAAGGGCCTCTTTCAATTAGAAGGCTATCAAAGTTCATCCATGTTGGAACCTCCAGCAGTACCTAATTCTTTTTCTTTAAATGAATTTATTGGGGTCACTCTTGTCAATAAAATTATATGTTTAAACTGTACAATTCTATAATACATCATCTGTATACTCTATTGCGTGTTCACCATCTGAATTCATGTCTCTACCCATCACCATTTATTCCCCTCTTTACCTTCTCCTGCCTCCCTCCACCCACATTTCCCTCTGGGAATGACTATACTGTTGTCTATCAGGTTGGGTTTGTTGTTGTTACTTTGTTCATTAGATTCCACATGTAAGTGAAATCATATGGTGCTCATCTTTCTCTGACTGGCCTATTTCCCTTAGCATGTTACTCTCAAGGTCCATCCATGCTACCACAAAAAGCTTTCCTTTTTTACGGCTGAGTAGTATTCTATTCTGCAGAGGTACCACTGCTTTGTAATCCACTCATCTACTGATGGGCACTTAGTACTTCCAGTACTATGTTCACTAAGTGGTGAAAGCCGACATCCCGGTCTTGTTCCTGATCTTAAGGAAATTGCTTTTAGTTTTTGCGCGTTGAGTATGATGTTGGCTGTCAGTTTACCATATTTGGCCTTTATTATGTAGAGGTATGTTCCCTCTATTCTCACTTTGCTGAGTTTTTATCATAAATCGGTGCTGGATTTTATCAAATGCTTTTACTGCATCTATTGATATTATGATTTTTATCATTCACTTTATGTGATATATCACATTTATTGATTTGCAGATATTGAACCAACCTTGCATCCCCAGAATAAATCTCACCTGATCATGGTGTATGATCTTTTTAATGTATCACTGGATCCAATATACTAATATTTTGTTGAGAATTTTAGCATCTATGTTCACCAGAAATATTGGTCTATAATTTTCTTTCTTTGTACTGTCTTTATCTGATTTTGAAATTAGGATAATGCTGGCCTTGTAAAATGCGCTTAAGAGTCTTCCCTCCTCTTGAATTTTCTGGTATGAGAAGACGAGGTATTAGTTCTTTGAATTTTTGGTAAAATTCTCCTGTGAAGCCATCAGTTGAGGACTTTTGTTTGCTGGAAATCTTTTGATTACTGCTTCAATTTCACCAGTTGTAATCTGTCTACTCAGATTTTGATTCTTCCTCATTTTGGAAGATGGTATGTTTTTAGGAACTTACCCATTCTGTCCAGGTTGCCCAATTTGTTGGCACATAGTGCTCATATTTTCTTACAATCTTTTCTATTTCTTTGGTGTCAGCTGCTATTCCTCCTCTTCCATTTCTGATTTTATTTATTTGGATCCTATTTTTTCTTGATGAATCTAGTTAAAGGTTTGTCAATCTTGTTTATCTTTTCAAAAAACCTGCTCTTGGTTTCACTGATCTTTTATATTGTTTTTTTAGGCTCTATTTCATGTATTTCTGCTCTTATCTTTATTACTTTCTTCCTTCTACTCACTCTGGACTTTGTTAGTTGCTCTTTTTCTGATTAAGTGTAAAGTTAGTTTATTTGAGATTTTTCCTGTTTATTGAGCTAGGCTTGTAATGCTGTGAATTTCCCTCTTAGTACTGCTTTTGCTGTGTCCCATAGATTTTGGGTCGTTGTGTTCTCATTTTCAGTATCAAGGTATCTTTTGATTTCTTCCTTGATCTCACTGTTGACCCATTCATTGTTTAGTAACATTTTATTTAGCCTCCATGTCTTTGTGTAATTTTCACATTTTTTTCTTGTGAATGATTTCTAGTTTCACACCATTGCGGTGGGAGAATATGCTTGATATAATTTCAATCTTCTTAAATTTTTTGAGACTTGTTGTGTGTCCTAATGTGGTCTACCCTAGGAAATGTTCTGTGTGCAGTTGAAAAGAATGTATATTCTGCTGCTTTGGGATGAAATGCTCTGAAAATATTAAATTCATCTGATCTAGTATGTCATTTAAGGCTACTGCTTCCTTGCTGATTCTTTCTAAAAGATCTATCCACTGATGTCAAGGGATGTTAAAGTCCCCTACTATGATTGTCAATCTCTCCCTTCATGCCCATCGATATTAGCTTTATATATTTAAGTGCTCCTATGTTGGGTGCATCAATGTTTAGAAGGGTTATATCTTATTGTTGAATTGCTCCCTTTATCATTATGTAGATGAAGTCCTTCTTTGTCTCTTTTTATAGGCTTTGTTTTAAAGTCTGTTTTGTCTGATAAAGCATTGCTACGCAAACTTTTTTTCCATTTCCATTTGCATGAAATATCTTTTACCATCCCTTTACTTTTAGTCTGTGTGTATCTTCCCTTCTGAGGTGGGTCCCTTGTATATAGCATATGTACGGGTATTGTTTTCTCATCCATCCAGCTACCCGATGCCTCTTGATTAAAGCATTTAAGCCGTTTACATTTAAAGTGATTACTGATAGGTATGTATTTACTGCCATTTCATTCTTTTTAACTATGTTCCTCTTCTCCATCTTCTTCCTTCTTCTTCCTTCCTCCCACATCCCTTTCTTCTCCTCTTTCTTGAAGACCCTTTAACACTTCTTGTAATACTGGTTTGGTGGTGATAAACTCCTTTAGCTTTTCCTCATCTAGGAACCTCTTTCTCCTTCAAATTTAAATGATAGCCTTGCTGGGTAAAATAGTCTTGGTTTTATTTAGGTCCTTGATTTTCATCACTTTGAATCATTTTTTAATTTATTGCTTTTACAGAGGGAGAGAGGAAGGGGGATGAGGGGAGAGAGAAAGAAACATCAATTTGTTGTTCCACTTGTTTATGCATCCATTGGTTGCTTCTTGTATGGGTCCTGACCAGGAATCAAATCCGTAACCTTGCTATATCGGAACAACACTCTAACCCACTGAGCTATCCGGCAAGGCCCCACTTTTGGACTATTAATGAATAATACTGCTATCAACCTTGTGCATAAGTTTTCTGTGGACATATGTTTCCATTTCTCTTGGGTATAAACCTACGAGTGAAATTGCTCCTAGGCAACTCTGTTTAACTTTCTGAAGAAGTGCCGAATTGTTTTTACAAAGCAGTTGTACCATTTTACACTCCCATTAGCAATGTATGAAGGATTCCAATTTCTTCACATTCTCACCAACATCTTTTTTATTATAATCAACATATATCCCAATGGCTGTAGAGAGGTATTTCGTTGTGGTTTTGATTTGCATTTCCCTAATGTAAAAAATACTGAACATCTTTTTAGTTGCTTATTGGTCATTGGTATACCTACCTTCAAGAAATGTTTATTCAATTACTTTTACTATTTTTAATTGGGTTATTTGTCCTTTTACTGTTGAGTTATAAGAGTTCTTTACATATTCCAGATACTAGTCCCTTATTAAATATGTATCTGGTAATATTTTCTCCTATTCTATGGATTATCTTTTCACTTTCTTGAAGTTTTAATTTTCATGAAGCCCAATTATATATTTTCTTATTGCTTGTGCTTTTGTTATATTTAAGAAATTACTAAAGTCACAAAAATTTATACCTATGCTTTCTCCTAAGAGTTTTAAAATTTTAACTGTTATATTTAAGTCTTTGATCCTTTCTGAGTAAGTTTTTATATATGGTATAAGGTAGAAGTCCAAATTCATTCTTTTACATGTGGCTATCCAATTGTCTCAGCATGTTGAAATAGCTATTCTTTCCCCCACTGAATTATCTTCACACACTTGTCAAAAATCAAACGACTATAAATATATGGGTTTATTGTTGGACTCTCAATTCTATTCTATTGATCTGTATGTCTATGCTATGCCAATATCACACAGTTTGATTACTGGAACTTTGGAGTTCAGTTTCGAAATCAAAAAAAATGAGTTCTCCGACTTTGTTCTTTTTCAAGATTGGTTTGGTGATTCTGGGTCCCTTCCATTTCCATATGAAGTTTAGGATTATCTTGTCAATTTCTATTAAAAAAGGTAGCTGGAATTTTTATAGGCATTGAACCGAATCTGTAAATCAATGAGGGGAGATTGATTATAGTCTCCTTTACTTTTAAACATACCTCCCTACAAATGCCAAGTGTTATTTTCCATCAAACAGAAAAGTTATTTGTCTTGAGTTCCCTAATTTTATTTACACCATAAAAATAGGAGACACCTGAAAAATAGATTTTCTTAGTGCTAATTAACTCTATCAGTCAACTGAGCAATTTTTCTAAATGTTACGCCATTATCTCATTTTGGTTTATATTATTATTACTCTAGCTTATAGTTATTAACAGATTATATCCACATAAATTTAAGTGAACTTACATTTTCATGACAATGGTGCATGATAAATGTTAGACTAATAAGGACACTGAGCCAACAATGTGTCAGAAAGATTACACAGATTAGCCCAGGTCATTGAGCAGTTTGCATGCTTGGTTGGACCTAGAATGAAACTCTAAGAATTTAGTACAGGATTCCATTCACTAGAACCATCAGACTTTCCTTATTCCCTCTATTATTTGGACAGAGATCCAAGTGCTGGGTGTACATAATGGTGTATGTATGACTACTTAAGTTTTGATGAAAATTAGCTTCAGGATTAAAAGAGAAAAAAAATTAAGCAGTTTCAACTTACTCTTTCATCAATGATTTTCATAAGCCATCTCTTAGTCAGATTATGTCTTTTGACAGCCTAAAAAAACAAGAGTATTATAAAATTTTAGAAAGTACTACAAATGACTTCTGCAGACCTGAATAAAATAAACAAACCAAATACAAAACTAGGTGATGGAACATTTGTCATAACTCATCATGAGATTGACAGCTGTGTTAAAGAAATACTAGGGAAAAAGAAAATGTCCCTAGAAAACATTTCAAAACATTTTCAGGTAAAGATAATGTATCTAAAACTTTTCCACTAAATTAAATACTGAGCTTGTCATGTGATATACCCTGACATCTATGCTTACTTATTACACATAAACTTCTTTCCATGGAATATTCTAATTAATAAAAAGACCCATTACTCCCCCCACCCCCCAAAAAAGAGTAACTAAAACTCCAAGGAAAATAATCTGCAAGGCACAATATTATCTTAGCAAGGAAAGCCACTTCAGTAGGAAGAGAGCATGCCTGGTGCCCAGATCTTGATCTATAAAAGTATTTCTCCCAAAGAAACGCAGCTCTGGAAATGGGTGATTTCCAGCGTTGGGCCAAGTGAGACTCAAGATAACCCCTGAATATTTTATTGTGCAGAAAATAGAAAGTGCTGAAAAAAATAAATAAATAAAAGTCATGTCATAAGGACACAGAAGCCAGTTTTGAAGGGGCTCCCACTGTCCAAATCTGGGACTATTTGAACACCAAAATAATTAAGTATAATAATGATTTATAAACTACTGAAAAAAATAGCAACTCGTGAGTTTATAATAATAATAATAAATAAATATAGGAGAGTGAAAGCTCTTGCTTATAGTAGAGTGCCAACTGGTAAATGTGGACAGAGTATTTGAGTTGGAAAATTACCATTTTGCAAGCATAATGGTAAAGACTGAATCAGACAAGAACCATCAGTGAATGGTAAGTTTCAGTAGAAATTAATGAGTAGGATATTTGCATTGTCCTGTACTTGCCAGGGGAATTATATCAATAATTATATAGTGGAATTTACAGTGGGAAAACATCTTGACTGATGAAAATTAACAATGCCAATAAAGGACAAATGTGCAAAATGTGCCTCCAGGTGTGACACTCTAAGAAGACATTGTCTGTGCATATTATGACCAAGCATGTACAACCTGAAACTAATCATGAGAAAACATCAGATGAATCCCAAATGAGGAATGTTCTATAAAAAGAAAAAAAAATTAGAGGGGTTATACTCTTCAAAAATGTTAATGTCAAAAAAGACAAAGAACAGCTGCAGAAATGTTCCACATGACAAACAGTACCCGACCCTAGAATGGATCCTATACTGGAAGGAAAAAATACTACAATGGACATTTCAGGGTCAACTGACAAAACTGGAATATGAATGGAAAATTAGATAAACGTGCTATATCACAGTTAAATTTACTAAAGTGAATAACTGTTCTGGTTATATAAGAGAATGACCCTACTCTTAGGAAATACTAAAGAATTTAGGGGAAAAAGGCCATGGTGTATGTAACTTACACTCAAAAGTGAGTCAGAAAAAAATTAAAAGTTTGAAAATACATATACATCTATCTATCTATCTAGAAAGAGAGAACACAGGCTCACATGCACACATGAGTGAATAGTACAAGTCGTTAACAAATGGAATAAAATGTTAACAGTAGGTAAATCTGGGTAAAGGGTATAGTGGTGTTCTAATTATACTATTTTTAATTTTAAAACCTTTCTGAAATTTTAAAAACATTGTTTTCTTGCCTAATCAACACTAACTATGATATATTTTCACAATAGTAATAGTCATAAAACAAAGTCTTAGGAATATTCTATACTTCAACTAATACTCTAAGATGTCATTGACAAAAATGTAAAAGTTTCTATAGAAACCACAGGTTTCTATTCTCTAATACCTAAAATTCATCAACAAATAGGCAAGGCTATCAAATCAGAAAAGCTGTTTTAGATTTGTGTCTGGACAACAGTGGGGGCACATCTCCCTTCACAGGTAGAACAGAAAATTTACCTGCCATTGTTTCAAAATGTGTAGGGTTTAAATTCTGCAAACAAATATGTGGAAAATGATTTATAACATAAAGAGACCAGATCCCTCTTTTTTCCTTTAATAAAGAAATACACCAAAGTCTATGCAAATTATGAGTGCATGATTTAAGTCCTTTTGCCCAAACTAATATATATCTGAACATTACATGAGCCTAAGAATATTTTCAGGATAGATTGCTCATCACTATTATCCAAATTGTATGCATCAAAAAGTATGCTCTTAGAAATTAAAAATAGCATTCTTAGAAATTAAAAATAGCATTTTTTTTTACCTTCCATAGTTCAATGGCCACAGGCTGATGTGGTGGATTGTCACTGTATATATCATCCACAGTTTTTTTCCAAAACTGCATTCGCATCAGTCCAATTGTTTTCTCAGAAATCAAATCCTTAATCTATAAATAAGGTTAAAAACTTTAATAAATGCACAATTTACAGTCTGAAAAATCAGTATTTGTGACTGCATAATAACATAATTTAGCCAAAAACTAAGTTTAATTCTATACATTTGTTTCAATTTTTCCTTGAAGTTAAATTGTTGTCATTATGATTTTCCTAAGTAAAAGCTGCAAATTATTTGAGGCATTCAAAAATAGGAGAGATTCTAGGAAACAACTGCAAGAATAAAACAAAGAGGAGGGGGAACATTTAGTTTAAAAGAAATTTAAGAGCTAGATCAGTCAGTTATTATGTGTGGACCTTATTCGAATCCTGATTTAAAGAGAAAGAGAAAACTGGGAAAATCTGAACATCAGATGTTTAATGATATTAAGGTATTACTATTAAATGTTTAAAGTATGATAATGACATTTTGGTTATTTTTTTAAGTGAGTTATCTTTTAGAAATACATATTGAAATGATTACAGATGGAAAAGTTTATCTGAGACATACTTCAAAATAATCAGGAAACAGAAAGATATGCATGCAAAAGATTACCGGTGAGGGGCAAAGGTGACCGCAAAGGAACAGGTGAGGGAATTTTTTGGTTGCTGGAATTGTTCTGTATGACTATGGTGGTGAATACATGACTATGCATTTTTCAAAACCTACAGAACTGTACACCACAAAAAGTAAATTTTACTATATGTACATTTTAAAAAACTCATTCCTTTACTAAGTAATTATCTAAAAGATTACTAGACAGTCACCCTCCCTCACTACTAGTTAAGAACAGCCTTGTCAGGTTCAGGCAAGAATCACCAATGCATTCTAAATCTAGGGGGTAAATTTTTAAAAGTTGAGATATAGTTGACATGTAGCAGTATCTTAGCTTCACATGTAAAACATGATTTGATATATGTATATACTGTGAAATAATCACCATAAGTGCAGTTAACATATCATCACACACAGTTACAAATGTTTTTCCTTGTGATGACTTTTAAGATCTACTTAAAAACTTTCAAATACACCATACAGTATTATCACCTATAGTCACTATGCTGTATGTTACATCCCCAGGACTTACTCATTTATAACAAACAAAGTTTTACCTTTTGAGCACTCATTTCATCCACCTCCCACCCCTGCCTCTTACAGCCACAAACCTGGTCTCTGTATCTATTAATTTGCGGGCTTTGTTTTGTTTTGTCTTTAGATTCTATATGTAAGTGAGATCATATGGTATTTGACCTTCTGTCTGACTTATATCACTTAGTTTAACGCCATCAAGGTCTATCCACGTTGTTGCAAATGGCAGGGTTTCCCTTTTTATGACTGAATAATATTCTAGAAAGAGTGTGCATGCACACGCACTGCATCACATATTCTTTATCCTCTCTTCCTTAGGTTGTTTCCTTCCATCCATGGATACTTAGAGGGATGGGTAAAAAAGATGAAGGCATTAAGAAGTACAAATTAGTAGTTACATTTGGTCACGGGGATAAAGTACAGCATAGGGAATATAGGGTTGTAATAACCATGTGTAATGTCAGATAGGTACTAAACTTATCAAGGTGATCATTTTGTAAGTTATATAAATGTCTAATCACTATGTTGTACACCTAAAACTAACACAATATTCTGTCAACTGTAAATGAAAAATTAAAAAAAAATTTTTTTAATGCTTTAAAAAACTCCTATATGTAAATGTTGGAGAGGATAAGCAGTAATACTCTGATTAACCTATCCAATTACCAGACAAATGAGCAATTTAATTGCCTAATTTTATAATTTCCTTAGAAAAAGAAAAAAATTCTATGATCATATTCCCAGAAACAGTAATTTCATTTGCTAGTTTTATTTTTGGAATTGAATTGTTAAGCCTAAATGCGGGGGAAGAGGGGGGGGCGCGAATCAGATAATCAAGATGACAGAGGAGTGAGTAGAAGGCACGCTGACCTCCTCCCAGGACCAATCTGGAATTACAACTAAATTGTGGAGAAATCACCTGGAACAAACAACTGAACAATAGCAAGAGAGGAACCTTATAACCTCAGATAGACAGTAGAATCGGCTTTAGCACAACCTAACTGGTAAGGAGTGCTGTAGAGACTCAAGGAGGGTGCAGCACTCATGGGTGGCAGCACCAGAAGGATACTGAAACAGCCAGGTGGATACCCATGAGATGAGCAGGGTCTAAACCATAAACAAGGATCTCCAGCCTACAGCACCAGAGCCCAAAATGTACACAGGTAACAGCCAGCTGCAAAAAGCAGCAGGGTTGCTCTCTGCCAGAGACGGGCGGCTGGAGACGCAAAGAGCCGTTTAAAGGGCCAACACATAAATTGTTAATTGCAGCCACTTACCCCGGTCTCCAGCAAAGGCGGGGGCAGAGTGGGCTAGAGACGCCTGAGGAGAGACTGGGGAAGAAGGCTTTGGGGAGAGAACTGAAAGAGTAGCCGGCAGGATCCCAGTGCTGACTCATCCCCCACATGGCAGCAACCATCTTGCTTAGGCAGACCACTCCCCTGAGCTGCAATAGTGTGAGAGGACCCAATAGCCCTGCCCCCAGCAGGGACTTGGCTCTGGCCCAGTAGTGCTAAAGCCTGACTGCTGAGTGCAGAGTGGTAGCCACAGATAGTAGATCCCTGGCTAACGGGGGAGCAGAGTGGTCTAGAGACACTTCAGGAGAGACTGGAGATGGAAGCTTTGAGGTGAGAACGGAGAGTAGCTGGCGGGATCCCAGTGCTGACTCCTCTCCCATAGGGCAGCAGCCATCTGGCTCAGGCAGACCACTCCCCTGAGCAGCAACAGCATGAGAGGACCCAATAACCCCACCCCGAGGAGGGACTCTGTCCCACCCTGTCGTGTCTAAGCCAGCCTCGAGTTCAGAGTCACTAGATTAACAGCTGAAAGACAGAGCTGCAGACAATAGATTCCAGGAAGTCTCAAACAGACTGCCTAAGGTCAGACAGGGTCAACATCTGACATCATCAGAGGCAGATCCAGAAAGAAAATACAGTGGTCTCCTACCACAGAAGTTCACACCACAAAGTCAGGAAATCAAGATAGATCAATTTAAGAAGCAGAAGCAAAAAAGAAGAGTCTCACAAATAATGGGAAGACAAAGAAACACCCCCCAGTCAAGGGAAAGGAGGAATCCCCAGAAAGAGAACTAAATGAAATAGAGGCAAGTAAACTATCAGATACTGAGTTCAAAACAACAGTTCTAAGGAAGCTCGATGAGCTCAGAGAGAACTACAAAACACTACAGGGAAACTATGAGGAACTTACTGCAAACTATATCAGCATGAAAAAGAACATAGAAACTATCAATAAGAGACAAGAGGAAACTGTTGAATTGAAGAACACAGGAGAAGGAATCAAAAGCAAGCTAGATGAAGTAGAGAGCTGGAGGATAAGGTAGAAAAAAGCTCCCAGGAAGAGCAAGAAAATGAAAAAAGACTCAAAAAGAATGAAGAGGCATTGAGGGGAATGCAGGACAACCTGAAATGTAATAATATCCGTATAATAGGGATACCGGAAGGAGAAGAAGAGAAGGGATAGAGAACCGGTTTGAAAAAGTAATGATGGAAAACTTCCCTAACTTGAGGAGACAAAAAGTCACACAAGTCCAGGAAGCACAGAGGGCCCATTCAAGAGGACCCCAATGAGGCCCACTCCAAGACACATCATCATTAAAATAACAAATATCAAAGACAAACAGAGAATCCTAAAGGCAGCAAGGGAGAAAGGTAGTAACATATGAGAGAGCCCTGGTAGGGCTAGCAGCTGACTTCTCAACAGAAACACTACAAGCCAGAAGGGAATGGCAAGAAATATTCCAAGGAATGAAAAGCAAAGGCCTGTAACCAAGACTGCTCTATTCTGCAAGACTCTCAATTAAAATGGAAGGTGAAATAAAGAGTTTCCCAGATAAAAGAAGGCTAAAAAAATACACCTCCACCACACCAGCATTGCAAGATATGCTAAGGGGACTGCTTTAAGAAGATGAAGAAAGAGTCTATGAATACCCAGTTCCTTTCACAGTCACCAATACTGGATGTTACCAATATTTTTAATACTTATTCATCTGATTGTGATAATGTGTTATTTTGTTACTTTATTATTTGTTGAAACTAAACCTGTTTTTGTATATTTCTTGCCTATTTCTATTATTTTGAAAAAGCTTTAAATGACCTTTTGGTATTCTTTATCCATTTTTTGATTAAATGTTTGTAGAATTTTCCCTAAAAAAAAAAAAAACAAATAGAAAAAACTATTTACCCTTTTTCAAATGTGTTGCAAATACTTTCCTATTCTATTACCTGTCCTTTAACTTTCTGTATATGTATATTATTATATAGTCTTAAATGTTTAATTTAGTCTATTGTCAATATTTTACTTTATAGCTTCTGGGTTTGAATATTTTACTTCAGGGTAAGAAAAATATTATTTTGTATTTTCTCCTAAAACTCCTTAGATTTTACATATTGATTTTTAACTCACCTGAATATTTTTTGTATAATGTGTGAAATAGGCTCTATATTTGTTTTACTTCAATACTGGTCCATGTACCTTATTTGTTAAATAAGCCTTACTTTCCCCATTGACTTACGATATCAATTTAATCATATATTACATTGTTAGATATATACATTTGTTTCTAGAATGCTCATTATATTTCATTGACCAACTTGATTATTTCTGTGCCAGTGTCACATTGTTTTAATTGTTGAGACTACATAATGGATTTAAATTTTTTAATATTTTATAATGGATTTGGACATTTAAAGAAATAAATAAAATCAATCTGCATATTAAAAAAATCACCAGCAGAGACCTTAAACACATCTAACATATAAATTACAACTGTATTTCTTTATTGTTCAGCATTAAACACATTATATCAGCATATTTGCAAATAACTTTTAAAATATTTTAATACCAGCCTGAGCGAGTTCCACATTGAAGGCTCTCAGTGCAAAAGCAGAGCTTCTGGATTCTGCAGGAAGCAGCAAGGAGCACAAATAGCCTTCATAATCTCGTTTCCTATAATAATAAAGAAAAAAAAAAGACAGTTACTTTTGACTTCCAAACTGCACACCAAAAAAATACTGACCACAATACCTGAAAACAGTAAGGTTTCAATTCAAAATAGGCCTGAAATTCTTATATTCTGTACCTGTTTCATTACACTAAAAATGTATCTGCCCATAATCCTAGACCATTTAAAAATAAGAAATACTCAATCCGAATTTTCTGACGTATATAGTACTTATAATTTTAATTGTTTCAGAATCACTTTGTAATAATTCAAATGAACTAACAAAGTAGAAATCAAGAAAATAGTTCCAGCAAGTACTAGTGTCAACTCACGGTTTTTAATACACAGATAAATAAATAAGACAGAAAGACAGAAAACAATATAGAAGTGTGGAGTGTGCTCATTGTGAATGCACTCACAAATACTGTTCTTATGTTTCCTAGTAGTGTCTGCTTGAGAGCCTAGAAGCAATGATACCCCTCCCACCCCAACCCCAGTATCCGTGAACACACCTGACACCTAGATCTTGGTTTCTAAATACCTTTCTCCACTGAAGATATTTTCTCCACTAGAAATCCTTGGAGGAATGACTGACTCCAGTGCTGGAACAGGGAAAATACAAAATAAGCCTGAAACATCTTCTAGAGCAAAAAGAAATGTTCAAAGAATGAAGGAGCTTGTCAAAAGGACAAAAAAATTGACTTGACAAAGTTCTTTTTGGCCAAGTCTGAGGAAATTTGAGCACCAAAAAAAATAATGATAGTAACAGATTGTAACTGGACTCCATGAGCCTATATCAATAGAAAGAATAAATAAATAGGAAGAGAAGGAAACACTTAACCAGTACAACACAACACAAACTGATAAATTTAGAAGACATGATGGTATTTTTAAAATCGTCATTTGATAACTATCAAAATAATAAATTATTCTAACAAAAAAACATCAATAAATGTCTGGAAATGTTAAACAGGTGAAAGGTGGAAAGAAATGGGATATTTGCACAGTATTAAAGTATCTCCTCACAAAATATGTATTACTTACTAATTAAATTTACAGGGAAAACCTGAAAGACCCCTTCTCAACCAAGTAATAAAAATTTCACACCACAGCAACTGGATAAATCATGTCATGTGCTGCTTGATATATCTCCCAAAAATGTATAAATCATGAAGAAATATTAAACAAACCCAAACTGAGAGAGTCTATGAAGTAACTGGCCTATTCTCTTATAAAAATGTCAATCTTGTGAAAGCTAAGGAAAGACTGAGAAACTGTTCCAGATTTGAGAAGACTAAAGAGATATGACAGCTAAATGTAGCACATGACCCCAGACGTATTCAAGACATAATAAAATAATAAGCAAAATTCAAATAGATTCTGTGGATGAAATGGTAATATTGGGTCAGTTTTAACATCCTGATTTTGATGGTTGTACTATGGTTATATAGGAGAGAATCCTTTTGTCTTAAGGAACACACACTAAAATATAAGGAAAGTAATAGGACATCATGTTTACATCTTATTCTCAAATAATTCAGATGTTAATAAGGGAATTTGGGTGCTCAATACATTGGAACTCTGTATACTGTTTTTATAATTTTATGTAAATCTGAAATTATTTCAAAATAAAAAGTTTAAAAAATATAGTCCTTCTTGTATTCATTCTAAGATGACTTGAGTATAAAGAACTTATCATACTGCCTATCAACATGGCTACTTTTATTGTAATATGCTGGAACCTTATTATAACATTATTTCCTATAAAATAGTACTCACCTCATGAAATGGGTCCAGCCTTATTCTATGGACTGTAGGTACTGCAATATAGACTATTGCCACATTTCAATTGTTTCACAGTTTGTCATGTGCCTAACAGAGAAATCAAATGTCTTCTAGCTACTGCCTTTACAATTTCCCTCAACTTCCACATAAACAAAAAAAGAGATCTTTTAGCTCTACTAAAAAACTCACTATAAGCAGTTTCGACTACAAAATGGACAGCTCTATAGTTTATATTTTCAAATATATATACATATAAATATATTTTAAATTTTATTATTAAATGTCTGTGAACTTCAAGTGTTCTTTCAAGTGAAAACAGTTGGAAGTTAGTATGAAACAGCAGGAAAGCACAGAATAGGAATCAAAACTACAATTTTAATTTCCATCATTCAACTTAGTTACTGACCTAAATGATACCAACCATGTCTATTTCCTGATTTGCAAAATGGGGCTTGATAACCTCCTGTTTCATATCTCCTAAAAATACTCAGTATGTGAAGTCCTTCACGTTTCTTAAAGGGAAATGAAAAAATGAAATGAAGACATAACAGAACTGTAACAACCTTTGGGACATATTATACACAGCTGAACACGTGTCCTGTTTACAATTTTTTAAATTTTTCATTGGAAAATTTTCTAAACAATAATGCCTACTTCCTCATATTAAAAGCAGGCTATACTAATTATTTAACCATTTCTTAATCACTCATGATCATTGTTATAAACACTTTTTATTGGTATACAAGGATATCCTAAGCGGCTAACCAAGGTACAAGTTACCTAAGAACCAACCCTGATATTAAGAAATACCACATTACAATGGCTTTATACAACAGCAAGTCCAACAACCTTTCATTAATTCATTGATTCTAACACTTACTCAGTGCCTACTATGTGCCAGGCACTGTGTCAGCCACTGAAGATAGGTATAGACTTCAGTCTAGTAGGCAGAGACAGACATGAAAAATAAGCGTATCTATTGTTACGACTGCTGTGCTAATTCCACAGACCTGTGCCATGGAAGCAAAGGAAGAACTGGTTTCTTAGTGAGGCTGGAGGAGGGTGGAGAACAAGTGCACTTCCACTAGCACCTCCTTATTATAGCACCAATCCTAAGGCCTGAGGCAACTGCTCCTCAAAACCAAAGTCCAAGAAGCCTATGTAAGTTAGATTTGAGATTTTCCCAGGAACCCTGGCTGGCTATCCTGAAGTTATGGCCTAGTATCTTTTCTGAAATTTGGAGGCCTTGAATAAGATAAATGTCCAAAACAACCCTGCACAAATAATTTCAGACCATTAGAAGCTAGTTCCCTTTCAAGTTTCATTTTGTTTTTATTTTTTAAACTATTGATTGAGCATTTGTTATGTGCCAGCATTTTTACATACATCATCTCATTTAATCCTTGCAAGCAAGCTATAAGCTATAGGAGTAGAAATGTACAAATGAGGAAAAAGCTGAATCTTAACATAAGTAACTTTCACAAGTGAGAGAGCTAGAAATAATTAATCAATTAATTCAGATTAGGTATGCTTACAAATTCCACATTTTAATTAAATCACTGGAGTTAATAGACTCCATTCCACTCAAATACCAAGATGGACAGAGTATCTGGCCATTTGTAAACAGATATTTGAGAAAAGGTACCGTGTGATATCCATAGACTATTACTGGAAGAATATAAGAAATTAGTAAGAGTGGTTATTCACCTCTGTATAGGAAAGTTAGGATACTACTAGTATTAAAGAAAATTTTCACTGGACAAGTGGATATGGTACACATATATATATATGATTCATTCTGGTAACAAATTTATCATCAAAAGAATAACTATAAAATGTATAAAAATAAATATATCCTTGTAGCAGTTTTTTTTAAAGGCTTTTTAAAATTTATTTTAGAGATGGGAAGGGAGGGAGATGGAGAGGGAGAGAAACAGCAATGTGCAAGAGGTACATCAATTAATTGCCTCTTGCACACCCCCATGTGGGGACCTGGCCAGCACCCAAGCATGTACCCAGAGTGGAAATCAAACCTGTGACATTTTGGTTTGCAGGCCAGTGCTCAATCCACTGAGCCACACCAGCCAGGGCCGTGCAGCAGTTTTGACTTAAAATTCTTAATGCTCTGATTTCTATCTTGTTTCCCCTATAAGTAACCACCAAATAAGGTGGGGGAGGAACACTATTAAAAAGGTGGTTAAAAACAAAACACATGGGAATTTTGTTGCGTTGTTATTTTGCTAAAATCAATTTTTAAAAATTGCACTTACTAGCCCAATCAAATCCAAGAAGAGTTATTTATTCTAACACTTCAGAAGTCCTTGAGGCCAGGTACTTTGAGCATTTTTACCACTGTTATGAATCAAGCGCAGCCGAAGGGCAGGGGGATGCTAGGCCATTGGTTTCTGCAATCAAGCCTGGATTCCAAGGCAGCCCCCTGCCTAGATGTGTTAAGGAACCTAATTCATTCAACTTCATTCCACAAATGATTAACAGCTATTCCCATATGCCAGGCTTTCTGGTGTTACCAGGACAAACAAACTTGTCATCAAGCCCTTGACTTTATGAGGCTATTCTGGTGAACCTCAGGTAAACTGCCTAGTTTTTCTAAACCTTGGTTTCCCAGTCCATTAAATGAGATAATAATGGCTTTTTTCATACTCGCAGTGGCATTGCTTTATGCCAGGCATTGTTCTAAATGCTTTAATACTCATAATCCAAGTGGGAAGTCTACATTTGTCCGTCACCATTTGTAATAAAGATTAGGTAAATTACAGCTGACCCTTGAACAAGGGTTTGGGCTGCATGGGTTTCGCGGGGGGGGGGGGGGGGGGGGGTCTTTTTTCTTCAATAAATACTGTAAATGTGTTTTCCTTATGATTTTAACATTTTCTCTAGTTTAGTATAATACAGTAATCAACTGTTCATGTTATTGGTAAGGCTTCCGGTCAACAGTAGGTTACTAATAGTAAAGTTTTGGTGGAATCAAAAGTTATACAGGGATTTTCAAAGAGTTCTGTGGTGTGGGGGTTATGGGCGCTCCTAAACCTGTTGTTCAGGGTCAACTGTAGTTGTCAACTACTTTTCGTAGTGCCTGACACACAGAGTGAGCTACTGTTGTGATTTAAATTAAACAGTAGTTGTCTTTTAAATTTAAAAAAGGTATGCATGCAAAATGTTGAACTGGGTAATACCAAATTAAGGATCAGGCAAGGTGACAGACGAAGACATTTTTGCCACAATTTTGTGACCTGTGTAAAAGTTCCTGCTCTCACTCCCCCACACACTCTCACCCGGGGCCAACCAGAGCACACACGCTGTGGGACGGGACACAAGAAAGGAAAAGGACCGCTCGCCCGCCAACCGCAGTCCCCGAGTCCCGCTGAGCCCGCCCGTGCCCCTTGGGGCTGCTCCCCGACCTTTCGCCGGGGGCAGGCCAGGCTCGCTCACCGCAGCAGTTCCATGCAGTAACGGTCAGTCCCCGAGACGCCCGATCCGCTGGCTGCAGCCACGCTCCGCCCAGAACCCGCAGACCCCGGGAGCCGCCGGGAGCGCCCCCATAGGCCCCGGGGGGATCGGCGGCGGCACAAGCCAGGTACGCCTAGCCGTAGCGGGCCCCAGGCCGAGCCCAACGTGGGGGCCGCCATGACACAGACGTCACGTGCCCTTCGACCCCCGCGCCGGCGGCCGCGGCCACGCCAGGCCACGCCCCCGGCCCATCCCCCAGTGCTTTTCTCGGCGGCAGAAAGGCAGCTCTTGGTCGTAGCTCGGAGAAGAGCCAGAGGTCGCTGTGGTTCTCTGCAACGGGGTGGTCGCCGCGTTCCCTCAGCCTTCTGGCTTCCAGGAAAGCCCCGCGAAAATCTATCCGCTCCCGCCAGCCTCTCAGCCTCTCTTTCGGGTACTTCTGAAGATGAATCTATCCAGATAGGAGGATAGAGAATATTTTGAGTTTACTAGCTTTATAACTTTTAAATATAACTTATTATGTGAGCAAGAATAACCTTTATTCACATAGTAGGTGAGTCGTCTTTGGTACTCTTATCCTCAGACCCCTTAAATATTAGAGTTGGGTCCAATTGCCGCGACCTGACCTGGTGCAAGCCGGCAGCTGACTACATCTGGATGCCAGGTTACATCTCCTCCCTCCACATTTGCCCAAACTCTTCGTGCTGCAGCCAGACGGGTTCTTTCTAAAACGTACATCTGATCATGCCCAGTCCCTGTTTGACAATCTTTACTGGCGTTGGATAAAGCCCCTCCGTGATATAGCCTCTATTTACCTTTCAGCCTCAACTCTGGCTATTTGCAGATGTGACTCCAGCTTAACGTTTCTCCTTAAACCAAAGGGAAGAGTATTCTGTTGTCTGGACCTGAGAACTCTGGTTTTGCTCCCTGAGACTGCCTCTCTTCAGCCTGTGCAGGACTTCAGTCCTTCTTGCATAATGTTCTTTTCCCTCTGGGCTTCTGTTCTTTAGCTCTGGCAGACACACACTAGTGTTTTCATACCGGTTTTAACCTGCTCCATTAAAAAAAAAAAAAAAAAGTCACTCATTTTCATCTCCAGTTCTGATCTCCTGTCCAGCTGGACTTTTCCATTTGGTCATCTCGCCATTACTTCACAATTCACCTGTCTAAAAAACAAATCAAAGTAAGTCCTCTTCCCAGTCTCTTCATTTATCTGGACGGTGTCCCCCTTCTCACAACCAGGGGAAGAACTTTGGGGTCATCATTACCTCTCCCTCACCTGTATGTTCAAGATGACCCACTACTGGTTCCACATGCTAGCCAGTAGTAAGAGTGAAAGGGTAAAGGGCAAGATGCCCTTTTCTTTAAGACAGGAAGGAGTCCTTAACCATTTTTGTGCCATGGCATAGAGCAATATATGTGCTGCTTTAAGCATTAAATAATAAGATCTAGCAGTGAGTCTAACTTCATATTTCATAGAGGTGATGACCATAAACAATAGATTAGATATCTGTAAAACTATTACATAATATGAAAATGCAGCATGTGGCAAAATGATTATATTTGATGAGAAAATCATAATTGCTGCTAATATTGGGTTGGCCAAAAATACTGTGTAGTTTTTTCTGTAAAATAAAAGACACATTTTTTTCATTTTCACCAATAACTTCATTGATTTGGGTATTTTGAGTATGTCGGCTATCTCCCACATGGTATAACATTGATTGTTCTAATTAATGTCTCGATTTGATCACTATCAGCTTCAACTGGCCTACCTAATCATGGAGCATTGTCCAGTGAGAAATCTCCAGCACGAAACTGCAAACCACTTTTGACATGTTTTCTCAGTCACAGCACTTTCTACATACACTGCACAAATCTTTTTTTTTGCATTTCAGTCTCGTTTTTACCTTCCTTGAAATAATAAAGTATCATATGCTGAAAACATTGCATCTTTTTTTTATCTTCAGTATTAAAATGGCTACACAAAAATTCACCAATTTTGGTAAGTTTTTTAAAGTGCATGCTGATGTAACAACTATCACAGTACAATCTAACAAAATTATTTTGAATGAAGTTAAAGACAATATATGCTACTAGAGCCATCTTACAGAAGAAACCAAATGAACTTTTTTGCCAACCCAGTATTTCATGCTTTGCTGCCTATATTCATAGTTAAAGCAAATATTACATTTTAGTTAACAGTTAGTGAAATACAGATGTAAATTTTTTTCTCATTCAAGTTTATAGACTCCCTGAATTCCATCCACAGCTTCCTTGGCTTAAGAACCTGCTGCTTTAAAGGTACAACCCAGAATTTGTTCAGAGCACATTGGCTAGTATCCCATTGGTGAAAACTTACTCTTCTAAAAGGGATGCTGGGAAATAGTCTTTATTCTGGGTAGCCATGTGACCAGTTAGAAATCAGGGGTCCTATTATTACTGAAAATAAGGAGAATGGATTTTGGGAAACCACTGACAGACAAAGAATCAGATGCTATTAAAGAATTTAACAAGGAGTCCTAATCCAGATTATGGGGTCAGGGAAAGTATCTCTGAGAAAATGATAGTTAAACTAAGATCTGAAATATTATTAATAGTTACTATACCTGTTATTTATTGAATGCTTACTAGGTACTAGGAATTCTTCTAATATAGTATTAATTCAGTCTCACAGCAACTGAACTGTTTAGGGTGACTGCTCAGGTTTTAGCATGGAAAATCCTGCATCCCAGAAAACCCCTCAGACTGGGGCAAACTGGATGGTTGTTACTCTCTTGGTACTATTGCTGTCATCCCCATTTTACAGAAAAAAGAAACCCAGGAATGAAAAGTTTAAGTAATTTGCCTAAAGTTCCACAACTAGTAATTGACAGAGGCACATTTTACACCTAGGAAGCCTGCTCCAGAATTCAGCTGCTTAACTACTGTGTAGTTTGTTAGAGCTGCCATAACAAAGTACCACAGACTAGGCGGCTTCAACAAGAGAAACTTATTTTCTCACAGTTCTGGAAGCTTGATGTCTGAGATCAAAATGGTAACAGAATTGATTTCTTCTGAGGCCTCTCACCTTGGCTTGTGGATAGCCACCTTCTCCCTTTGTCCTCACATGTTCATCCCTCCATGTGTATCTGTGTCATAGTGGATAAAGACTCACCCTTAATTACGTCTTTAAAGACCCTATCTCTAGCCCTGGCTGGTGTGGCTCAGTAGATTGAGCACCAGCCTGCAAACCAAAGAGATGCTGGTTCGATTCCCAGCCAGGGCACATGCCTGAGTTGCAGGAACTCAGGCCAGGTCCCCAGTTGGGGGCATGCAAGAGGCAACCACATATCAATGTTTCTCTCCTTCTCTTTCTCCCTCCCTTTCTCTAAAAATAAATAAATAAAATCTTTAAAAAAAAAAAAAAACCCTATCTCTAAATAACAGTCACATTCTGAGGTAGTGGAGGTTAGGATTCCAACATATGAATTGGGGGGTAGAGGAGACACAATTTAAAAGCCCATAAAACTACTGTACTGTGCTGCCAGGCAAAGAGTGGGAGTAGTGTTCCACAAGAGGAAATTGCATGAGCACAAAAGATGAGCACAAAAGCTGTGAATCAGTAAAGCGTTCAGCGTTCAGCTCATTCAAAGAACAGAATGAAAGCCTGTGTAGCTGGCACTTACTGAATGTGTAGGATGGACCTTGTGAGACTGGAGAGGTAAGCAGAGACCAAATTATGTGACATTTTGTAGGCCAAACTGAGATTCAGGATTTTATCTTAAGTGCACCAGGAAGCCACTGGAGGGAGTAAAAGAGTGGTTTGACATAATCCACTTAGTTTTCAAAAAACAACTCTGTTGTTTGTAGAATAGATTGGAAGCAGGAAGAGGGCGGTTAGGAGCCTTTAAGCTGGAGACTGGTCTAGAGTTGTTGGTGGCTTGGACAAGTGTAGTAGTGGAGATGGAAAAAAGTATGTGGATTATCCGACATGGTGAAGGTAGGACCAATGGAATTTACCAACCAAAGGTGGTCAGGGAAAGGATGTTGCCTTCTTCTGCCTGTTAGAACCCTTTTTATGCAGGTATCCACCATCCTCCTTTAGAGGAGCCAGGCATCATCCTCAGCCCACAGAAGTACAACTCAGCATGGTATTCAGTGCTTAGATCGCTGCAGGACAGTGCATGGTTCTCTGTTTTGACCAATGACACTTGTGGAAAAATTCACTATGGGGTTTCTGAGAAAGATGTCTCACTAATAAAAGGAGTTCACAGGGTACAATACATTACTTATGAGATATTCTTGCCAAAAAGGTTTAACATAAATCTAGTTAAGCTTCTAAATCCAAAGTTTACAAGAAATACAAAGAAGAACAAGATAAATGACACCATGAGGAAACATATCAGAATAATTCAAAAGAAAAAAATGTCATGAGAAAACAAATTGGGGGGATAATCTAGATTAAAAGGTACTAAAGAAATATAAAACCAAATGTAATATATGAAACCTGATTGGCTTCTGTTTTGAAAAAAATAAGCTAAAAAACACCTTTTAGGGGTAAGTGATGAAATTTAAACTTGGACTACCCTAAGTAATATAAGGTAATTTTGCTAATATTTTATATTTTTAAAATATTTTATTTATTTAATTTTAGAGAGGGGAGGGAGAGGGGGAAAGAGATGGAGAGAGCAATCCCTGTGAAAGAGAAACACTGATAGGTTGCTTCTCACACACACCCAGACCACGCCCAGACCGGGGACCAAACCCCAACCCAGGCATGTGCCCTGACCAGGGAATTGAACGATCGACCTTTTGCTTTGCAGGATGATGCCCAGCCACCTGAGCCACACCAGTCAGGGCAAATTTTGTTAATTTTTTATAAGTGTGCTGATATTGTGGTTCTACAGGAAACATCTTTATTCTCAGGAAATGTAAGCTGAATTGTGTAGGGTTAAAGTGTCATGATGTCTCTAACTTCCAAATGATACAGGAAAAAGGATAGATATGATAGATATATATGGTATATATATATAAGATATACATGTATCACGGAGTGAGGGACAGAGAGTAAGCAGTTGTGGCATGTGGCAAAATGCTATCAATTGATGAACCTAGGCAGAGGGCATATGGTTAGTCATTGCACCACTCTCAGCTTTTCAGTCTATTTAAATTTTTTTTCAAAAGAAAGAAATGAGAGGGGCACAGAGACACGAG